ATAAAATTTTCAGTGCTGTAATATGGCTCTCTTTAGTCTTCGAGTTATGCCTAAAAAACCAGGTGCGAGATCGATTTATTTATAAATGGCATCCACAAGGATAAACGACAAGTGAGAATGCTTTTGGCAAGAATGTTCGACTAAAAGCTACCCATTCCTCTGTTAAATTGTTTCCAACCAAACGACACTCAGAATCTTCGACAAGTGTTTGAAATAAGCCCGAGTTGCTTATCGATATTTATCGCTACACAAAAGACGTGTATCTGACGTGACACGAAGCTCAGCACGTGCCCATCTCCAATAAGTATTAGCTGCCCCCTAGAAAAACCTAGGACAAGACACGACAAACACGCATCTCTAAGCAGAGGTCATCAGTCGTGCCAGTTCGTGTCACGAATGAGAGCAGCATATATCTTTACACTCGATTCGAAGACCGTGTCTCTTAGCCTGTTATTTGTCCGTTCGTGTCCATATAGCAAAACCTAAGACAATACACGACAATACCCCTGATACCAAAGTCGTGTCTGGTGCGTGTCACGCAAAAAAATGAGCACGTCACGTGCTCAACTCTAAATACTACTGAAATCTTTTCGAGCTCAATTACGATAGTGAAAACGTGACACGCGCTCATCCCTAAACAGTTGTATGGTTAGCCCGTTATTTGTCGGTGCCCAGGTGAATTGGCGGTTTGCATTTGTCTACCGACTTGTATGCCCTTACAGAAAAAAAGTGTGCACAGAAGGCATGCATATATATACATATATAGTCTTGAATTCTATGAAGACACGAGTCGATTTGGCTATGCGGTTATACAGACAACAACTGAACTTCTTTCCTATAAAAATATTCTTTTTGTTTTTTAAGATATCTCAACCGAACTTGGAACAAGCATAACTGCCCCACATATTATTTAAATTAAAACTTTTGTTGTTTTGTCCATCTGCCAAACCAGACTTCGTTATTTGCCCTGGCATCGGACCGACAAGCGAAAGGTCGCTGGTTCAAATTGAGACCTTGCCAGGGTATTGATTATTCGGCGGACCAAGAAGATCACTGCAGAGCTGCAGCTCTTTTTGTTTGTGTTTTTTAGTCCTGAAATTGTTGTGCAAAATTTATAAGTAAATTGCTTTTTATTTTGTGCAAAGTAAAACCACTGAAAAGCTGTTTAGTCTCTCGCGAAGTGTTAGCAAAATACTTTCAGCGGCTTGTAGTTGCGTTCGGGTTTAGTTACTCGCATTCCATGGCAACGGACGGATGCAGGCAGGCTGGCTGGCCGGGGGGAGGGGGCAGGTAGGGTTAGCTAACTGCCAGACAGCTTGCCTGGTATGCTCAGCGCCAGCTCCCGCTTCCGCTCCCCCTTCGGGAGGGACTAGCTCAGCTACACCTTAACCGGGCAAGGTAGCGGTCAGGGGTGTGGCGCAACCGCGCAATGTGCCCGCCATGCAAGTATTTTGCGTTATTTTTTTTTTTTTTTTTTTTGTTTTTGTTAAGCTTGTGTTTGTGTTGAGCTCTGGAGCTGACGTTAAAAGGTTTATCCCATTGAAGTTTCTGTTACAGCACAGCGTGCAAAATTAAAGCCAACGGATTAAGTGATGCACTATCCCTTGCCAGCAAAGTAACACAAGAAATTCCATTTTTCACCCCCACGGCCACCCCCTTCATCTGCCCAGCAACACTTCAAGTGCTCCAAATCAAATGGGTTAAGTCTGTTTGGTAATTGCAACTGGTTGCCTAGGAAAGGAATCACCGTTTAGATGTGAAGACCAGTCAGCCTATACAAAAGGAAAACATAACAAAAAGAAACGGCTAACTTCGGCACGGCGAGGACTTAATACCCTGGCAAAGAAAAAAAAACTCGTAATTGCAGAGTAAGGTTACATTAGATTGAAAAACACAAAAGTTTTCGAACTATTAAATACCGAGACAGTACGAATATCTTAGGCATGCCGAAGATTTAATACCCTCGTAAGCATTTGCCTTACGGTTACGGATATGTGAGCATAATAAAGCTCGCTGAGTTATATGAAAATATCTTGGAAAACAAAATACTTTTTCATAGAAAAACTCATTAGTCAACTTCTTCTTCCTACAGAACTTCCAAATATTGTGGTGCGATCTTGGTAAGATTTGGCAGCATCATTTTAAAAGAATTGCTGAAGTTGGTCAAGATATCTTGATAAACACAAAAGTTTTTCATACAAGAACTCGGTTTTCGACCGATAATTCTAATGGCAGCCATGCTATATAGTAATCCGATATTGTTAAGATTTCGCATATATATGAGGAGCATAGTACAACTTATACATGCCGAGTTTGGTCAAGATACCTTGAGAAACATAAAAGGTTTCTATACAAGAACCTATTTTTCAACCGGTCGTTCCTATGGCAGCTATATGATATAGTAGTCCGATGCTAATAAGGTTTGGTATGTACATAAGGAAAAAAATGAAACTAATTAATGTTAAAGTTAGTTAAGATACCTTGGAAAACAAAAAAGTTTTCCGTACAAGAACCTATTTATCGACCTATTGTTCCTATGGCAGCTGTATGTTATAGTGGTCCGATTTCGACAAGATTTTGCATATATGTAAAGAGCATGGACAAATTTCTAAATGCCGAGTTTGGTCAAGATAGCTTTAAAAACAAAATAGTATTCCATACAAGAACTGAATTTTCAAGCAATCGTTCCTATGACAGCTATATGATATAGTAGTCCAATATTAATAAGATTTGGTATATATATATCTTAATAAACAAACATGTTTTCCATACAAAAACTGAATTTTCGACCGATCATTTCAATGGCAGCTATACGATATAGTGGTACGATCCGACCGATTTCGATATATGTACTGCCTGCAGCAAAAACACGGACATATGCAATACTGAGAGGCTAGTTTACAAAGGAACAGTCAGACGGACCAAAATGTTGTTCATACAAGAACTTAATCGAATTATGCCGAATGACCAAACTTTCCAAATATATCACGAAACTTATCATCACCATTTATCATATTATCCTAAAAAACCTTTTGAGAATCGGACTACAGTACCATAATGTTGTTAAAGACACAGAGTATCTAATTTGAACATTTTTGAAATGTACAGGTAAAAACTTTTCGCTACTTACAGGCTCTGTTCCGCTTTTAATGCAGCTATCGAGCACAGATCCATACCTACAATTTACAAAATGTTGAAATTAATAATTTGTCAAAATGTTATGTGGAAAAAAAAAACGGCTGTTTGTGAGTTGAACAAGTTGTGGACGGGTTAGAGTACACACAGGGATAATTTAGCCTAAAGGTAACTTAAAAATCTATGTGGGACAACGGACACGTTTGTATGTAGGAATATATACATACACATGATGTACATAAAAAAAAATCTAATTAAATCATTTTTTGCGCTTCTTAGGCTTGGCTTCTTGTTGGGACCTATCCTGAAACTGCGGCAAGTCCGCACAGAATAGAACCTGCAAAAAAAAAAAAAAAGTAAAGAAACGGGTCTAAATATTGTTAATACTATTTTACCGGCCACTCACCGTTTGCGCCCAGCCGGCATATTTGCCATGCAGCTGCTGAAAATGCTGCGCCACCTCAGCATAGATTTTGCTGGTCACACTCTTCTGGCTGGCCAGATGGGGCAGGTAATGGCGCTGTGCTAGCTTAAAAATGTGCGTATCAATGGGCACCGCCTCCAGATGTCCCAGCGACATAAGGCAAATGCAATCGGCCACCTTGTAGCCAATGCCGGGCAGCTGTACCAAAGCCTCGCGCGCCTCAGCGTAGGGCAACTGACGCAGCTGCTCGAACCAGTCGTTGCCGCCAAGCGTCTCAATCTGCGACAGCGAACGGGCTATGAACTTGGCACGATAGCCAAACTTGGCGGCACGCAGCTCCGCATCCAGCTCGCTGCAGCTGCGTTCGCTAAGCGCTTTGAGTGTGGGAAACGTGTACTCATCCCGGCCATGAAAGTGTCCAATTTTGTGTCCGTAGGCGGCGCAAAACCATTGAATCATGGCGGATATCCTAAAAGATCAGAGCTATGAATATCAATTGGACACCAGCTGGATTTAAATATACATATATAACCCTTGGCGAGTTAAAGGCTAATTGGCTACCGTTTTATATTGTTGTTTTGGCTGCACATGAAGCAAACAATGTTCTCCAGCGGCTCCTGTGACAGCATGCGCACCGGCTTGCTCACAAATTTGCCAAAGTGCGCATCCGCTTGCATCCAGCCGGCCTGCTCCGACTCCAAATCGAAATCGGCGCGCAGATATTTGCTCAACAATGAGCCGAAATTGTGTTCACTCTGGGTGCCCGTTGCATGTGCTTCATAGGCAATGTGCTCGTCCTCGGGCATCAGCACCCAGTAGGTGTTCAAGGCGACGCCGCAATATTTGACTTTGGGCTCGGCGCACAACTTGCGCCAGCTAAAAAGCGCATTAAGCTAACTGTTTGCGTGCGAAAAATGTGTTTATATACGCACCGAAAACTTTGCCCGCCCAGTAGGGTACGCTCCAGATCGCATACCCTGGCTTTTAAGCGTATTATGCCGCTTTGTTTTACGGCTTTTGTCATTTGTGTGTTCAAATTGTAAATTGAAACGAAAAAGCGCGAACAGCTGTAAAAATGCCGATAAGTTCTAGCACAACCGGCGTGGGTGTGCTTTCGATAACTTTCTTTCGATAACAATACGATACAAGTCGCGTGTATCGATACTTGTGGCATGCCTTAACATGCTTTAACACTTAAGTTGTTCATCTTAGAAACGTTTTATGCTTCTGATACTCATGTTTTTGTGTCTAAAAAAGACCCAAAGCAATGCAGTGTGCATTTCTGTTAATAACTGTAAAGTTACATTTGTCGTCACATATAGAAGAAGGCAAACAGAACCAAAAGGCAGGACCTTTACCTAAGGGTTAACTATCGCGCAAAAGTACTCGTACAGCGTGTGTCTTGCGTATGCTTTCAAATTCAGCGGAGAGCTCGTGCACGTGTCACGCGGCCATCTCTAGTTAGAATTCACACAGTTACATGGAAATCAAAGTTATTTAGTGTTTAAAATAAATAGTAAAGCAACAGCAGCAGCAGGCTTACACATATACGAAACAGGGACTTAGAGGCATTAACCTTAGAAGGGCTACTCAAGCACACGCCACAAACACACAATATTATGTCAGGCAGCATCAACAATTACAAGACTCTAATGTAAGTGCAATGCGCTAACTCGCAACGCCCGCCACAAAACTAACTAACTTAAACTAACTTGCCCACAACTCAAAAAAAAAAACAATTAACTAAAGGCATGCAACGAATCGTGGTTACGGCGAACAGACGCAAGCACAGGCAGAGGCCATCGAACACATGCAGACAATGCCGCAGCTAATCGGAGATCCCGGCGTGCAGCTGGTTAACAGGTAGGTGGAAAGAAGCCAGCCAAGCATCATTCACTGATTCCACTTATATGAATATGTGCCTTAGCCTCGAGGACCGCGACAAGGCAATTGTGGACAACATAAACGCGGATCAGAATGCGGTCACACATCTAAAGTACATGAATTCGGAGCGCGATTTGTCGCTGCCGCTGGAAAAGCAAACGAAAGCGCTGGACAAATATCTGGACAGCCAGGAGGATGGTTAGCTTATGGCGGCTGCAGCCACTTCATCTTCATGCCTAACTAATGCCAATCTTTTGCCCATCCGCAGAGGTCTCGCTGCGCAAGTACCTGGTCTTTGGCGTTCAATGGGTCTCGCTGGTCACCGAGAATCTGCTCAGCCATCCGTTCATTGTGCTGCGACGCCAGTGTCAGGTCTATAATGCATCGCAACGCTATCATTTGCATCCGTTTCAATTGCTGCCCAGCATTGTGCATCTGCATCGAAGACAGGGCGTCACCACGTTATGGAAGGGCCTCGGCAGCTGTCTGCTAGTGCGCGGCATGACTCTGGCCATAGACGATGTCATCTGCAAGGTGACCAGCTGGCCGAAGGACGTGGATAGCCGCACCACACTCAAACGCTTTGGCCAGCATATACTGCTGAAATGGCAAGTGTCTTGCACTGCATCCTCCATATATATATACATATATGCAGTATATATATAATTGATATTTATGTATTTCTTGTGCAGCATCAGCATTGGCCTGGTGGTGCCCTTCTATGCCGCCTCGCTGGTGGAGACGGTGCAAAGTGATATTGCCAGCGAGAAGCCCGGCCTGTTGGATGTCTTTCGCGAGGGCAGTCTACGTTTGTTCTACTGGAGCTCACCGCAAAAGGGACGCATGCTGCCCGCCTGGGCGCTGATTGGACCCAGCGTCTCCATGGGCATAACCAAATATCTGTTCAGTCTGGTCATACGTGGCGTCTCCTCGCGCATTATGCGACGTCGCCTGATCATCAAGCAGGAGCAGCGCGGCGCCAAATTTCGCGATGATACGCTCGAGCATCAGAATGCCGAAATCTATGCGAGCCTCATTGCCATGCTGACCACAGAGGTGCTGTTCTTTCCGTTCGAAACGATACTGCATCGCCTGCAGCTGCAGGGCACGCGCACCATTATTGATAATCTGGACAACGGTTATGCGGTGGTGCCCATATTGACCAATTATCAGGGCGCAATTGATTGCTATCGCACCACCATGCTGACGGAGGGCGTGGGTGGCCTTTATAAGGGTTTCGGTGCGATGATTTTACAATTTGCCGCCCATGTGGCTGTTATTAAATTAACCAAATGGATTGTCGGACAAATTACGGAAGTTATATCAAATCGGCCACCAGCACGAATTGTACAATATTATAATCTGGATCGCGGTGCTGGCAATTCAAATTCAACAACCATATCGCCGAGCATCTCAAGCACCGAACTGGATGTGCACAGCGTGGGACAGAATTCGCTCGATTAGCTTTAGGCTTGGTTTGATTTTCAAGTTTATTCCCAAAACATATTCTTCTCTTCAAAATTTCATGTATTGCCATTAGGAACGTGAGTTGTGCTCTCCTTCTCTGTAGGGTATCATTTCGCATGAGAGTCGGGCAACAATATTATTATTATTCTTTCTTTTTTTTTTTCTTTCTTTCTTACTTTCTTCTCTTTTCTGTTTCATTTTGCTGTGATAACTTCCGCGCTCGCCCAAGCAGCGAGTCTTCTGTTTCATATATATATATATATATATATTTTTTCTCTCTCTCTGTTTTCGTCCAAACGAACAACCAGCTTAAAAATTAGCCAAGCATGTTATATTAATTGAGAACTGAGCGTACAGCTATTGTTTTACCCGGCATATCTTTCGGTTATTGCCAAACTAGTGACATTGTAATTAGATCTTTAACAACAACAATAACAAATTATTAACAAAATCCTTTAAAATGTAAGAGTGTAAAAGCGCAATTAAAAAAAAAAGTGTTGCTTTAATATGATACAAATGTTCATTCTCTTTTTTTTTTAATGTATATTGTTGAGCTCGAAGCTACATTTGCGTGTTTCCCCATTGGGATTGATCCGATCTGTTGTTCGTTTATAGATGTTAATAAATTTTACCAACACTTAACCCTTATCAAGGCATCTTTATGAGCCCGCAAAATTGTACGCCTAAAAATATTTAGTTAAATTTTGAGCCTTTGTTCAAGTGTACATAACTTAATTGTAGGCCTAAATATAATTATTTCTTTTATTCTTACTATATTCACTAGTTGCAGTGAAATGAATCCACCCATTTTGTGTGAAAGTGGAGAAGAGATTCGAAATATCATGGATTTGAATAAAAATTGTTGCTTCCAGCAAATGTGACAAAAATCATGTTCGCCAAATGAACAAAAAAGTGAGGTTAATTTTTTGAACAATAAAGTGAGGTTAACTTTTCGAACAAAAAAGTGAGGTTAAACTTTCGAACAATTAAGTGAGGTTAACTTTTCGAACAATAAAGTGAGGTTAACTCATCGAACAAAAAAGTGAGGTTAACTTTTCGAACAATAAAGTGAGGCTAACTCATCGAACAAAAAAGTGAGCCTAATTTGGCTCACATTGACAGAAAATTAACAACATCTGCGGTTTGTAGACAATTAAAACGAACTTCGTGCGCGTTTCTTTCATTTGTTTTGTTTATCTAGGGTATTTTCAAAGTTCTATACATATAGTACAACAAAAAGTGTGTAAAACGAGCTTATGGCTAGGCACTGATTACTCTGGCTTGTAGGTGATGGTCTCATCCTTGAAGTTGTGCACCTGATCATACCAGATGTCCTCCGGCGCATCGTCCTCCGTTTCGTAGAGCGTGGGAAATGGCGGCGCCTCCTTGGGCTTGCGCAAAGGCAGAACTGTGTCGTAGATGTAGACCAGGCCGTTTGTGGAGCCGGGCACAGCGCTGCCCTGCACCCACATCACATTGTACTTGGTGTTGATGCGCCAAATGCGCAGGCCCTTGATAATGCGCCAGCGATTGCCCATATGACCGGGCATCTTGGTGCCCGGCCAGACGCGACCCTTCTCACCGCCGCCGCCAATGTTGCCGGGCCGGCGATGCGTCTTGGTCACGCCATGTGATGCCGGCATGCCCTTGAAGCCGTGCCGCTTGACCACGCCCTGGAAGCCATGATCCACGCTGCAAATGGCAAATGGATAACATGAAGATTCAAATTATGCTTTATACACTCACGTCTTGCCGCGCACATCAACAAATTCGCCCACCCGAAAGTGGCCGACATTTAGTGGTGTGCCTGGGGCCAGAGCCGCCTGCGGTGAGACTATGAAACGCGCCAAATTCTTTGTGGGCATAACGCCCGAGTCCCGAAAGATGCCGCAATACTCTTTGGTCAACAGCGCCGGATTTGTGCTCTCTGCGCCGACCAGCACACAGCCGTATCTATCCAAATGCTTGACTCTGGGTCGCTGTGCGGGCGTATATTCGCCGGGCGGTATATATTTGACCACATGATTGTCCACCACCTGCAAGAGGGTGGTGCGCACACGTTCACCATTCTTTAGCCACAGTGGATATTGGCCAATCTTGCGGGCAATGAGACCGCAGCGACGCACGGCCGGCGTCCAGGGCTCGATGTCTGTGGGCGCCACGGGCGTCTTGATCAGTTGCTTCTGTTCGTAGGTCTGTATGCCCTTGATGAGTGCCGGTTTGCCGTACGTATCATGCACCACCTCCTTGATAAAGCTGCGATTCTCGCCCGTGACCAGATCGTCCGTTTGCTGCAAGGCAGACGCTCAATTAGTTAAGGTATGCTGACAGAGATGGTTTGGGCTGCTCTGGAGCACCACACATACCGTGCGCTCCTTGCGTATAAACCAATACGGATTCCTCAAGCGTGGCCGGCTTAGATGTCCTTTTTCGCGCACTTGTGTAACCAAAACGGCGGCCGGGCTGGTGCTGCCACTCAGCCTGGAAATATAGGTTAGAAATGCGCAGAGCATCAGGAATTGACTTTTATACAGACCGTAGGCGAGCTAAATCGCAGATAACAGTGCGCAGCATATTAATTATATAATTTTTTAATACAAAAATCAACTTAAATACATAAATAACAATATGCAGCGCACAGCTAGAGCCTAGTGATGTGCAGCTACAGCCGAAAAGTATCGTCGAAATAGGTATCGACATGCTAAAACTATCGATGCTGCCACAGCCGACGTTAAACCTTTTTCAATTTAATTACCCATTGATATCTATTCGCACATGTATTTATGTTCTGATATGCCAGATGTCTTATTTAATATTTACACATTTTCAAATTAATAGAAATCGATGCTTTGCTAGCAAATATATCGATAGCACGTAGATGGTGGCAGCACTGTCAGCTGTTTGACATCTGGCAACGCCAATCCATCAAAAGCAACTTTAAACACGTGCATCGCGCTGGTGGCGGCGTGTTCTGTTTCTGTTTCTGTTTCTGTTGCCATTTAACTTAGTTTAATTTGATTTGATTTGATTTGAGTGGACAACAGCAAAATGGGCAAGAAAACGAAAGTTGGAAAGACGCGCAAGGATAAGTTCTATCAGCTGGCCAAGGAGACGGGCTTTCGATCGCGTGCCGCCTTCAAGCTAATCCAGCTGAATCGCAAATTTGGTTTCCTGCAACAGTCGCAGGTATGCATCGATCTGTGCGCCGCACCTGGCGGCTGGATGCAGGTGGCCAAACAGAATATGCCCGTATCGAGCATTGTCATTGGCGTCGATCTGTTCCCCATACGCCCCATTGCGGGCTGCATCGGCCTTGTCGAGGACATCACAACGGAAAAGTGCCGCCAATCGCTGACCAAGGAGCTGCAATCGTGGAAGGTCGATGTGGTGCTGCACGACGGTGCCCCAAACGTGGGCCGCAACTGGCTGTACGATGCCTATCAGCAGATCTGTCTCACACTGAACGCCCTCAAGCTGGGCACACATTTTCTGCGCGGCGGCGGCTGGTTTGTGACCAAAGTGTTTCGCTCCAAGGACTACAATGCGCTGCTCTGGGTGCTCAAGCAGCTGTTCAAGAAGGTGCATGCCACAAAGCCGAGCGCCTCGCGTAAAGAGTCTGCCGAAATCTTTGTTGTTTGCCAGGGCTATTTGGCGCCGGATCGCATCGATCCGCGCCTGCTGGACGCCAAATATGTGTTCGAGGAGCTGGATCTGGAGGGCAAGCAAAAGAACAGTCTGCTGCATCCGGAGAAGCAGAAACGCATCAAGGCCGAGGGCTATACGGAACAGGATATTGCGCTGCGCAACGATTTGGCCGCCTCGGAGTTCATGCAGGCGGAGAATGCATTGGCCGCTCTGCAGGGCATCGGCTCCATACGCATCGATGATGAGCGCATTGCCAAGCACAAGCGGACCACCAGCGAGATACTCGAGTGCTGCAAGGACCTCAAGGTGCTGGGACGCAAGGATATCAAGGGTCTGCTGCTCTGGTGGAAGCACATCAAACAGGAGCTGTTCCAGTCCGAAGCGGAGGGCGTCATCGAGGAGCCAGAGGCCGAACAGCCGGCCGAGCCGCTCACCCAGGACCAAATCGAGGACATGGAGGATGCCGAACTGCAGCAACAAATCGAAAGCCTCGCCACCGAGGAGCAAAAGGAGCTGAAACGCAAACGCAAAAAGACGCTCAAATCGAAGGCCAAGCTGCACGAGAAAATGAACCTCAACATGGTCATCAAGGGCGACGACGGGCCCGTCGAGGAGACCGAGCACGAGATCTTCGATCTGAAGGGCATCAACAGCGTCAGCGAACTGGACGCCATGCTCGATGTGCAGCCCGATTTCGATGTGGACGGCGACGCCGTGGAGACACCCAAGCTGCCCAAATACAAGAAATACGACAAGGACGACAAACGCATGGACGACGATGCCAACTATGAGAACGATGACGAGCCCGAGGTGAGCGCCGAGGAGGACAGCGACAGCGACTATGAGCAGCAGGGCCTCGGTCTAAGCGACAACGAGGACGAGGATCAGCCCGAAACCAAGGGCAAGCAGAAGAAGAAACAACGCGGCGAGCATCCGCTTATCAAATCGGGAGATTTCCGGGACAAGGATACCCGGCGACAGCAGCGCGTGGCGCTCTGGTATGAAAAGGACAATCTACAGAATATTGGCAACGAGGCGGATGACGACGAGGAGAACTATGATCTGGACAATCTGGCCAAGGCATACAAGGCCAAGGGCGTGGCCGTGCTCGGCGAAAATCGCCCGGCCCTGGCCGACTACGATGCCGGTGGCGGCACCCTGGCCCTGGGCAAGAAGGCCAAACGTCGCGCCCGTCATGATACCCAAAAGGAGGACAGCAGCTCCGAGTCATCGGACTCGGATTCCGAGCAGGAAGTGGATGAGGATCAAGTAGCTGGCGACATAGCCAAAGGTGAGACCAAAGCTAAGAATTGCAGTTGAATGAAGGGTCAACTGTTTATGGAACAGAGCAATAAAATAGAAAGGAAAGGAAAGAGCTGATAATGAGAAAGAGTGAGAGAGAAATACGTAGAAATGTTCAAATGTTAAAATAACAGTCTAAAGGAAGGAAGTCACAAGAAGGATGCTGGTTCGAATCTCAGCGGACTGGGCACATTAGCCAAAGCAACTGCACACTTATTCACTATAAATATTAATAATTTGTATTTTCTGGCAGCACCCAAGGCGAAGAAGGTGCGCCTCAGCGAGGAGGAGCTGGCGCTGGGTGCGCTCCTGGTGCGTGGCAAGAAGACGCGCCGCGAATTGATCGATGCCGCATGGAATCGTTATGCGTTCAATGATGAGAATCTGCCGGTATGGTTTGAACAGGATGAGGCCGAGCACATGACCAAGCCGCAGCCGGTGCCCAAGGAGCTGACCGAGGAGTATCAGCGCAAGGTGCAGGAGCTGAATGTGCGGCCCATCAAGAAGGTGATGGAGGCGAAGGCGCGCAAAAAGCGTCGTGCCACCAAGCGTCTGGCCAAGGCCAAAAAGATGGCCGAAAAGATAATGGAGAATGCCGACGCCACCTCCCAGGAGAAGGCCAAACAGCTAAAGAAGGTCTACAAGAAGGCCCAGGAGAAGAAGAAGGAGATCACCTATGTGGTGGCCAAAAAGCACACAGCCTCGCGTCGCGCCCGCCGTCCAGCTGGCGTCAAGGGACGCTATCGTGTTGTCGATCCGCGCGAGAAGAAGGACAAACGCTCGATTGTTGCCAAAAAGCGTCGCGAGAAGGGCAGCAAGGGGGCCAAGGGTGGCAAGGGCAAGGGCAACAAACGCAAGTAGACCAAGAAAATGCTCTACGTTCCGTCTCCAGCCCCGATTATAGCTTGTAGTCAGCTTATGTAAATGCTAATGTATAGAATAAATATATAATCTAGTGCATAATAGATTTGGTAGTTAACATTTTTGTATTTAACATGCTCTGAATGTTAGTAACAGATGTTATTAACAGCAGTTTTAATGCTCTTAAAATTGCTCTCAAGAATGTTAAATTCATAATGCTGTTGCTGTTAATGTTAGTAACAGTACGCCATTTCCACAGTGCTTAACATTAGCTGATTATGTTAAAAAGAGCAGCTGTTAAGACATTTCGGTTATAAAGCTGCAAAATCTATTTAACATGCATCAAAAGAAAAAAAAAAAAAACATTTACATAATTATGTTAACAGATGTTGGGCGCATCTCTCAGAGCGCACTGCTGGGCTGATACTCGTAGAACTTCTCCTCGTTCTGCTCGCTGAGGCGCAGCTTATGCTCCTTTGTGAGCTTGCTCAGATGGTGCTCAACATTGTAGGCGGCCGCGGGCCACAGCTGCTCGGGCGTCTCCTTGTACACCACCTTGACCACATCCATGGGCTGCAGGCGCTGGCCGGGACGCTGGCTAAAGAACTGCAGTATCTGCTGTTCCCGCTGATTGCGATGATTTATATAATACTCAATCTTGCCCACGGGCTCATCGATGACATTGCCATGCCCGGGATAGATGCGATCCGGGCGTATCTTCAGTATTTTATCCAGGCTGCGCATATAGTCAAACAGATCCTCAAAGACGGCGGTGCCCTCGCCTGAAAAAAAAACGTGAGTGGGTTTAGCACGAGCGTGTCTCTCACGGCACGAAGCCAGCCTCGACTCACCCAGTATGCAATCGCCGCTAAAGAGTGTGCCATCGTCCGTGGTGAGGACGACATGATCTGTGGTATGTCCGGGCGTGTGAACAATGCGCACCTTGGCGCCATCGACGGCAAACTCCTGGCTATCCTCCAGTCGCTGCACCGTTATGTGGCCGGGTATCTCCGGGCAGACATCGCTGGCATCGCTGCGCCGGAACTTGAACACCTGACAATCTGGATTGAGTAGCACTTTAATGACAACACAAGAGGCTACATTTACGGTTTATATTCAGGCTGAACAGTACGCACCCTTATCGGCCAGCTGGGTGCCCACAATGTCCTTCACCCCGCCCACATGATCGTGATGCCAATGGGTCAGTATGATGGTGGATATGGATGCCTGCTCCTGGCGCAGCACACCGTTCAGATGCTCAATATATTGGGGCACATTCTCGTCGCCCGTGTCTATGAGTATGCGCCTGTTTGTGCGAATTTTACGTAAATCCCAAATGGCAATTTGAACTTTGGATATGCTCACTTTTTACCGTTGCCCAGCAGATATGTGTTTGTGCCCTGCAGTGTCATTGGGCCGGGATTGCAGCCGAGTATACGTATTATGGAGGCGGTTAGGCGTGTCACCGGCGGTATTAGTGCCATGATGCTTCAGTGATCGGGCTTTAGCTTTGGATACTTTATCACGTAAATAAAGCAAGTGTTATGGGAGAGCGCTGCCAAGGTGTTCCGCAACAGTTGCGCACCAGCTGTGCATCAGTTGCGATGTGTACACACTGTTTTGCGGCGCGCGTTTTATTTGCATTCAATTTTGGCGGCATTTCCTTTTCTTCGATTTGTAATGCATTGTTTTTTTTTTTTTTTAGGTCCTGTAACGCTTTTGTGCACATCGAAGGACATGGAAATAGCTTTGCATAGCAATTGCTTGTCTTCTAATCACATGACCGAATCAGTGTACCCACACCTTATCTGAATGCGTAATAAATGAGGTAAGGCAAACCGCACTATTGTTATCGATATTTGGCGCCAACCAAATGTATCGACATTTGAGAATTGATTTGAAATTTGAATTCGCGCGCTTTGCTAAGCGAGGCAATTTCTTTGCAGTGTAGCCCATTAATAATAACAAAATGTTTTGTTGGTTTTATTATTTTTCGTAAGTTTTCTTTATTTTTGTTTTGTTTGCTTTTCTTTTGACTAGGATGCAGATGCTGTATACATACTATACATGTATATATATATATATATCTATATATATATATATATAGATAACTATTTTGCTTTTGTTTCTTCATTTTGATGCGTTACAAATTACAATATGAACTTAAACATTTGCTCAAAAGTTCAACTATGTTTCATTTAAATCTTTGCTCATTTTGTCACATACATACGAGTTGCAATTGTTATTAGAGAAAGAGATAGAGAAAATACGAGAAGGACAGATGGCCAAAAACAGAGAACATAGAATGGAAAACAAATCAATTGTGCCTGCATACAAGGTAAAAAAAAAAAAAAACAATTACGAACAAATAAAAGTTATTTTATATATATATATGTGGGTGTGTGTTAAAATAAAGGTAAGTTGAAAATGCGCTTGCCTAGCGTTAAAACGTCGTATATAATATACATAATAATAGTAATACATAATCGAGATACGTTAATAGTTGAATAATATAGCATAATTTACTTGTTTTTGTGTGCATGTATGCGTGCGTTTAAAATATTCGACTTCTTTAATAAGATATCATTTTTCATATGGGTTCGTATAAGCTAAAACTAATGTTTAAGACGAAAAGTTTTCTTTTTTTTTTATATATATATATATATATAATATTGCATTATTATTTGGAGTTTTCTTTAAGTTTAGTTTTCATTTAATGGCCACGCGTGTTTTTCTGTTTTTGTTTATGTCTTTTGTTTTGTTTACTCCCGAAGACATATTTCCGAAAAAAAAAAAATAATGTATAAATACTTTTGTTGTTCGTTTTTTTACTTCTTCTTTTTTTTTTTTGCTTTCTTTTATGGTTTATCCCATGGTTGAACACATTTTGACCTGGCTAATTACTAAAGTATTTTGTTTTAGCTGCTTTCGTTTGTATAAAAATAAAAAAACGACATACTCCATATACGCTAATTTCTATATATATAGAGAGAGAGAGATGTACATATATTTATATATATATGTCTGCTATATCGTATATATATGTATATAATATAATAATAATATTTGAAATTTTGGAAGAGAACATATCAAGTAAAATATAATAAAGTACAACCCAAAAAATGGCGCGAGAAAAGCTTGACTAAACTACTTGGAACTATTCTCACAATTATGCACTATGTATATTTGATGGTTTTCCTTTTTCATTTTCCATTCTTTTTGGGCTTTCAACTGTGTATATACTATATATATATATATATATACATATATATGTAAATATCTATATAAAAATGTATATACTATATATATATATATATATATATATATATATATATATATAAACTGACTGATGGCTGTTGCTGTTGCTGTCGTTTGTTCATCTTAGCTGATCATTTCGCGGTATTTTAATTTGTGCTTGGTCAGCATATCGGTGACGGTGACCAGTTTCTTGATGGATAAGATATTCGATAGCTCCTGCAGCTCTGGCAAATAGGATACGCAAATGTGATGCAATGTGGCTAACTCACGGCCTAAGGGAGAGAAAACAGGCATAAGCAACATATTGTCGAGTTGTTTTTTTTTTTTTTTTGTAAATCGACTTTGCTCTTTGTCATGCTCACCCGTATCCTGTGCATTGTGATTGGGATTCTGTTCGACAAACATGCCCAGCGGCGGATTGGGATCGCTGACCAGCGACAGCTGATCCAAGAAGACAATCATGCGCTCCTTGTTCTTGAGTATAAACGGATTGACCACCTCCATATATTGTTCCTGCAAGCGTTAAAGGCAGTTAAGTCGTTTAATCGTTTAACTGTTGATCAAGTTTGAAAAAAAAAAAAAAAACCGTACCTTGCCGCCAAATTCAATGAGATTGGCCAGATTCTGCAAGCACTTGGCCACCATGATCAGAGAGCGTGTGGCCGCCGTTGGCGGTGTCTCGCTGACCAGGCCAAACTGGCGTGGATTGAGCAGCGCCGGACAGAGCAGACGCAGGAATATAAAACCAGAGACGACACGTGTCCGCACCAAGCGTTCCGTTGGCCATTTGGCCACGACAGCCTTCTGCAGGCAATTGCATATGTAGCGTACGTTGCGCGGACAGGCGTCCGGCGATGTGAATATCGATTGGGTGACCAGATCGAGTATCTGCAGCAGGAATTCAGCATTTGTGCACGCATCATCGTTGACATCCATTTTGGTTGGATTCAGCTCCGCCGACTGTTTGCTTTCGAGTATGCGCTGCACAGTCTCACTGACCGCCGACTGCAGAAAGCCGCTGCACTCGGTGCGCATATACAAATCCATGAGGGTGGTCGCCAGCGAGGCGCCGCGAAACAGTGTCGTCGTTTCGTTCTCGCGCGCCACCTCCGCCTGGCAGAGGATGCGTATCAATTCCGTTTCGCGTTTCTCGTGCCGAAAGACGCGCAACAGCGCCGTCGCCAGCGGCACACGATCGTTGTGACAGAGCTCGGCGAGCGCCTTGACCGCATACAGCTCCGGTTCGAGCAGCAGCTGCTGCAGCGGGCTGTACTCCTCGCAGGGCATTATCAGATCGTCCAGATAGCGCATGCGCAGACGCAGCGAGCCCCATTCGCCCATCGGTGTCATGCCCGTCAGCTTGTACCAGTCCTCTGTCTCCTGGCCGTTCTTCAGGCTGGCCAAATCGATTGTTAGCTCGGCCACCTCTGAGTCCTTGCCGCGTTTGCCGCGCGACACAACCGTTATGGTTAGGGATACAACATCCGGCGGCACATCGCTGCAATTGTGAAGCGTATTAGGAAAAATGATAGAATTGAAACAATCGTTTGGCAACTCACTCGAGCACAAACTCCTCCTCCCAGACGGGCTCGGGCGCAATCTTGACACGCGTCTTGCCCACCTTGACCTGGTTGAGCGAAATACTGCAATAGGGATGCGGCACCAGCTTGAAGGGCAATCGATGCGCCTCCAGCACATGCAGATTGAGGCAACGCAGCTCACGCAGACGCGACACCTTCTTTTGGGCACGACTCAGCTGGGAATCGCATTGCGCCTTCAGCGCATTTATCCACTCCACATAGCTCTCCTGGCTGGGCGCGCACAGATAGGTGACTGTGGCCAGGCACGGCAGCGCACGTTCCACGATTTGAAAGCAATAGGGTCGCTCCCAGAGCGAATCATGGCACTGATACAGATAGGCGCAAGACAAATCGATAAGGCCCTTGGGCTTAGTCTTTTTGGGATTGTCATAGAAGCAGAGCTGGGTCTCGGTGCCATCGTTGATGAGCGCAAAGTACAGCTGCTTCCATTTGGTTGTCTTGTCCGATTTCTTGTTCAGATGGCCGTGATGCTTGATGCCCTTGATCTTCTTGAGTCCAATCTGATCGCGGCATTCGCGCAGCGTTGCATAAATCTTTTCGGCCGCCTTCTCCACAACATATTGCTGATTGAACTCCGGCTGTGTGCCGTTCACCACGGGATGGTTCAGTGAATGGCCCTCGACAATTTGCTCCTTTCGATAACGATTGATCACCGCGTCGAGGCATTCGAATGTCCGGCCGCCCATCAGATAGCGTACGCCCTTCTTCTCAATGCGAAATCGCTGAATCTGATTGTTGATGTGAAAGAAGAGCGAATAATCGCCGGGCGAATTGTCGCTGGGTCGCACCAGAAAGCTGCCAGGACCAGCTGAAAAGGCAGAAAACAAGTTAGCCAAAGTTATCGATTAAATGTCGCTATGCAAATCGATATTTATCGTTAAGTATTAACATTGATTTCTGATAGCTGCAAAATGACAAGCAGCCAGCTTCGAACCATTTACCAGTTCTAACGTAGTAAAAGTTATCGATTAGAAAATTAATTGTTGTCTACATATCGATGTTTATCGATAAATTGAACATGAGCACAGCTTTAAAGGTAGCTTAAAAATGACTTCTAATCAACTTTGAACCAGTTCACAGTTCTAATTCAATTAAAGTTATTGGTAAGAAGCTTAAGTTTGTTATGCCTATCGATATTTATCGATAAATATTTAAATTGCAATACGACTTGCAATCACCTTTGAACCAGTTCACAGCTCAAATTTCATTGAAGCTTTGGATTATATATTAAAATCGATTAAATTTGTTGTCTATCGATATTTATCGATACATATTTACATTGACTGATTAGCATACATTTAAAATGAGCTGCAAAATGAGTTTGAACCAGTTGACAGGCTTGATTCCTTTTTTCTAAGGTTTGAGCCGCTCCACGCTTTCCTGAACCTATACCAAAACTTGCCTTTGAACCGGTTCAGACTTTAATAGTTATCGATAATGCCCAACCACAGCTGGGTTGGTAAATGGTATATTAAGCGCGGAACTATTTATTAGATAATCGCTCTCTCCCTCAAAGTTGTGAACCGGTTCACATTTACACATGTCCAGTTTATCGATAACTTTATTTATCGTACCAATAAATGTTGCATACTCACCCTTAACCAGCATATCGACCGCCTCGTTCTTGGTGCAATTCGGATGGAACCAGGGAAACACCGTATTGGGATCAATGGACACATCCAGATCGTCGACTAGTTCACGGAATATCATGCCCTGTTCACCGGTGCGATGCGCCGTCACCCAGAGCCAGCCATCGCCCATGTCGTTATGCACAAAGAATATGTCGCCCTTCTGGAAGCTCAGCTCATCCGTTTCCGGCATTTTCGTATACGGCAAAATGGCCACCACACGCTTCTTATCATTGACCGGCTCCGGCGGGGCAACGGGTATGACCAGACGTTCACGCTTCAGCAGATCGCTGCACGATGTGTAATAGCCAACGAGATCGCTTAACGAAATGAACTGACGTCCGCCAATGTAAAAGTCACCGCAAACGGCCGTAATGCTAAAAGAACGCATGGGTATAGGAGTTAAGCAATGTGGGGCAACACTTTTTTTTCTTTTATGTGGACAAAACTCACCGGAAATGATTGATGCCAGTGCGTCCATAATAGCTGAGCACATACGAGCCGGGCTTGCGATCGCTTTCGCGCACTTTATTGAAGAACAAACCGTAGAATATAATATATATCAAAATAACAATTTGATAAATACGCACCCAGATAACTGCCCAGTTTGCCGCTGCCGCGAAGACGCGCCTCCGCCGAATAGCGATCGAGTCTGCCGTGATACCATTCGCTCTCCGGGGGCGCAATTATCGCCGGACGTTCGCCTGCAAGCAAATAATGTTGAAAAATGTGCCAAATTAACAACATTACACAACACGCGACGCTTCGCAAGCGCAAAGTGTGACAAAAAGATATGAAAATCAGACGCAAAATAAAATGAAACCGATCGCAAGAGGAGAAAAAAACATTTCGTGGCACGCCAAACATGATACACCCTAACTAGAACTGATACGAATGCATATATAGCTGATTAGGAGCGCTTGCTGTGATAGAAAACTGCACATGAAGTTATCGATAACACGCAGCTTTCCGTAACAATCGATAAAAATAATAAACACTCGACTTTAATCTTACTTTTTATATAAAAGTGCGAGAAATAATTGTTTGAAACACTTTGTTGAGTCACGGTTCACGGATCACTAATCGATAATTATCGATAAATATGTGTGCCGCATCGGGCACAAACCCAATGACTCAGCCAGTGTAGGGTACACTGTGCAGTGCAATATATATTGCGCATACGAAATTGTCGCAAGTATTTTGCCAAAATCGATAACACGTGCAGAGTTGCACTTGAAGCCAATAGAGTAGATGTTGCCGATAGTTGAATATTTGAACAATCAAGCGCATTTGATTGTTTACGGTTGCACTTGCTATTATTTATAATAATAATAATGAAATGAACAACTTTCCCAAACAAAACCAGCTGCAGCCAGAAACGTACTCAAGTACTTTTCTAATCAACAAAAAGAAAATAAATATAAGTATATATGTATACATGTGTGTGTGTGTGCAGGCATTGTTGCCAACTTAGCTATTTTCTAGCCAATTTTGGCTATTTTCAGAGTTCTCCAGCCGAAACAGCGCACAGAAAGCTTATGCAGCTTCTGTTTAAAGCTACTTTTAGCTATTTTTTTTTTCTAGCTTAACTTGGCAGCACTGAGTGCAGGCAGCAGCCATTTAGACAACAACTTGGCAGCACTGCATACGCAATGTTGATCAATTGTCAACAGACGCCTTTATCGGTTATCAAACAAAAATTTAATGCGATAAGCACACACACACACACACACGCACGCACGCAGCAGCAGCTTAATGTCATGCGATTTTATGCGGAAGAGAGCTAGAGAGAAAGGGCAGAGAGCGCGCGCGCATGACTCACAAACAGCTACGCAGACGCAGCTTTAGTTTTTGTTGTATTGTCGCTTGAGTTTGTGACGCATGACGCATGGCGCACGACGCACAACGCACGACGCGCGTCGCGCCTGACACAATAACCGTGCATTGCACCTTAGGCAGCCAGTCGCAAGGCTGCGTTCACAACAGCTGATGATTCACCTAATGTGTGTGCACACATATGTAGATATGTATACATGCATAGATGTTTGCGTGGTTGTGTGTGTGTGTGTGTGTGTGTGTGTGTGCAGGGCAAAATCATATGCTGCCATATGTTGACAATTCGTTTGTGTGTAAATAATCAAATACGAATTGTTAAATACGAGTTAAAATTTGATTTTATTTTGATTTACTCACCATTTAACATGTGCGGCCCATCGAATTCGTCCTGATCCAATTCCTGTGCCAGATCGGCCAAATCAATGCCACCAGCGGCCATCATGGCGCCGAGACCCGTTATACCGCCCAATGCCGCTAGGTTGCCGTCATCGGAGCCGCCCGTTGGCGAGCCAAGTTTATCTTTCTGTATGACAACGTCCACATTACCCAAACGCATTAAATCTGCCATTGATTGGTTATTTCTTGTGGTGTGCGTGTGTGTGTGTGTGTGTGTGTATGTGTGTGTTTTGGTATTTTTTGGTTAGCTGTTTATTATGTTGAATAATGCAAATGCAATATGCGCATGTATATTTATGTGTGCGTAAGCAGCTGTGCAGATGTTTGTTTGTATGCGTATGTGTGTGTGTGTGTGTGTGCGTATGAGCTATTGTTGTTGCTTTGTTTTGGCTCTGACGCTGTGCAACAACTCACAAAAATAATTGTTCTTGCTGATACTGTTATTATTCTTGTTGTTGTTGTTGTTGTTGTGCCGGTGATGCGTCGCGCTGTAAAAATAATGCAAAATAGACGCAGGCGACAAAGCCACAAATAGAGAGAGAGAGAGAGAGAGAAAGCATGAGTTAGTGAGAGCGCATGTACGTATGTGTATGTGCATGCGTGTGTGAGAGCGACTTTGCATGTGTGTGGATGGCATTAATAAGCGGGTGAATATATGCAAGCAATTTGTTATAAACAAAATGCAATCTGCATTTATGGCCATGCGTGTGTGTGTGTGTGTGTGCCGGCAAAAGCACGCAACTTGAATTGCAAGCACAGAGCGCAGACAAGCAGACGTCGCGTCGCTGTCTCGTCGTTGTCGCGCACTTACATCTATGCATCTATGTGTGTGTGTGCGTGTGTGTGAGAGCTGTGCTGCATGATTCAGTGTTAGTTAATGTTCGAATGGAGCAATTGCACTAAATGCCAGATTACTGTATATAAATATTTGTTCATGTTCCAACAAAATTTCACTTTAACGTTTATTTCTTTTTCAAGATTTAATTAAAATGCATTTAAAGAAGAGTCCAAAATAAAAAATTATCGAAAAAGAAATACTCCAATTGAACGGTAAAGCACAACTGTGCGCTGTCAATAAAAACGCACACACACACACACACAGGCTTTTACGTACAAGGAGCAATGGCACAATAAAAATCAAATGGAACCAAGAAAAACGTTGAATGAAAATTTCTCGTTTCCGTTTTGCCGTCTGACAACAAGCACTGCGCAGCCCCCCCGCACACACACACACATATCAACACCCCACCCCACCCCAAACAAATGTGTGTAACATGCGAGAAAACAACGAACGAAGTTTTAGATTTATGAGGGCAGGCGACAATCGAAATGTTCTAAACATTTGCAACCTAATTGCTTAGCAATTTAACGGCAAATGCCTTTACCGTTTTAATTAAGTAATTTATATGTGCGGCTGATGATTGGTTGACCATAGCAAATAAAAAAATAAAAAAATTAAATAAAAAACAACTAGACGTACTCAAATTTCGGACTCCACCCTCTTGGGGTATGGCCACCCCTTTTCAGATACACTGACAAGATGCGACACGCACACACACCCACACAGGCAGACTCAGTCGGGGCAATGCAAATGAACAAGGCAACAAAAGAAACCAGCAGAAATTTTCTACACTTACAATGTATACGTCAGTGTGTATGTATGTATTGTAGATATGTGCGTGTGTATGTGTGTAGGTGGGTATGTGTAAATTTTAGCACCATACACGAGACGGCGACACACAGACACACGAAACGCACACTAGCACAAAACAAAAAAAAAACCGATCAGCACTTTCAGGACATTTCCAATACGGTATTGTTGTGTATTTTTATTTGGCAAACTAATTCACTGATTTGTCGTTGTTGCTGGATAGCACAGTCAATTTAGAAATACTCGGGGATTCGCCTTCGCTATGTGTGCCCGCACCGTGCCCGTACAATATGCGTTTTGTTTTTTGCGGCGCACACACACACATTGGGGATGCTGATATCAATGCATATCGATACATCGTTGCTATTGCTGTACGCCAAGCACAACGATACTTTTAGGCGATACTTAAATTCAAATAACAATATCGACTGCAGCTGACAGCAACAAATATCAATACAAGTCAACAGCAATAATATGTAGCATGTGTTGTTGAAAAATCTTGCAACTGCTGTTATTAATTTATCTATCTAAATTTGAACAAATTAAATATCCTATGTTTGATAGATCATCGTAAGTAACTGCTGCGCCTCATATCGAAATGCGCCCATATCTGTAAGCGATAGGGCAACACTCTCTATCGATATATTGATCGGTTCGTTGTCGCATCTCTATTACAGAGTATTGCTATTATTTTTTGACAATGCGTGCGCGTTTTCGTCGATTGTTGTTGTGTGTGCGCGCAAATAGTTAAATTATTAGCTAAAGTGGATAAACGCTGAGTGTATGCATTATATCTATATAGGCAACGCTAGTTGATTTGATAAGCAGCTAATTAAGTGCACCGCCATCGGCAGCTAGCCGCACTCTTAGCCAAATAAACACATACAAACAGAAGACACACATATTTAGTAACATTTGGCTGCAGGTTGCAGCTGCAACGAAAATCCCTAACAAAATCAACTCAGCATTAATATAATGATAAATCTGGACACAACGAATAAAAATCAATCGTCAATAATGCAACCTTTGCACTATTTTCAGGTAAGAGACAGAGATCAATACGGCTTTGTCAATTATTGCAACAGAAGCAGCAACAACAACAACAAAGACAACCAAAAATCATATGTTCCAGTTGACATTCAACGTTATTGTTGTTAGGGCCAAAAGTATTGCGCATTGTTAATTCAGTTTTGCTCATGAATCGCACGTTGATAAAAACAAACACAACACACACACACACACACACGCACACATATGCATGCACATAAATACCGACATACGCAAACAATCGCAGCTGTTCTACACGCACACACACATGCGCATAGCTATGTGTATGAATTATAGCAAGGCTTTTGGCGCATAGCATTTAACGGCTGTAAGCCCAGCCCCAAAACAGCTGCGTCGCACTTTACATACGAAAAGGGGCACGGCGAAAACAACGATAATCGTGTACGCCAAACAACGACACGACAACATAAACAAAGTGTTCGAAAACAACTCTAGTTTTACAACAACAACAGCAACAACAACAATAATAACACTGGCATAACCGAGCTACGCTTTTGCCTTTGTTGCTGCTTCTGTTCCATTTGCCATCTCTTTCACGCACGTTGTTCCTGTATGGCGAAATAATATTTTAAATATATATGTATGTATGTAGATATGTATGTATGCAACAGTCGCGGTTGGTTTTGTTTTTGTTTTTTTGGCTTGTGGGCACTGATAAGCTCTTGATAAGCGACTCAGCCATAAAAAAAAATACCGCGGCTTAATCTAGAAAACTATATTATTTTATTTCAAAATTCAAATAAAATAAAATAAAAAAAGAAAAAAAAGAAGAGAGCGACAAAGTAGTAAACAAAAGCCGTTAATAAATTACATTCACAGTATTAAAGCTGTTAACATACTGTTAACATACTGCATTTGCAAATTAACCCTTAGGTGATCAGAGTTGAAGACGGGCAATTTCTATACAAAAAAATGTTGTTTCTACTGCAAAAAGCTATGCAATAATAAATGTGTATTTATATATATATAAAAATGTTGCAATCGCTACTTCTTATATTTTTGTTGAATTTCTGCCATTTCCTTTCAAATACAATTTTTTGTTTATTTATTGTTTATTATTTGATTTCCTCGATGAAATAAGCAAAACGAACCAGCGAATGGCGTCAATTGGCAAAAAGCAATATTTTACAACAAAACTTTTTGTTCGTAGAGCAAAAAATGTTAAACTATTTTCTCAGCGATCTATTTCGCTATTTTTCACCAACAAAATTATTCCTATTGAAAAAAAAAACTATAAACGACCTTTTTGATCAGCAAACATTTTGTATTGTCAACAGCAACAAAGTTAATTAAAAAAGTTGTACACTTAGGGTTAAAGTGTCAATACACCTAGGCGAAGCCTGTTAACATTGACAGAATGCAAACTGTTAACGGGCTGTAAACGTAGAAATATGTTTTTACTCCACACACACACGCAAATAATAACAAAAGAAATGCCTGACGTTTATTATTATTATTTTTTTTTAAATAATAAATTGCGTCGTCACTTTTTGAGCAGCAGCAAAAGCAAACGTTGCCCACAGACGCTGAGTCATAAAAATCAGCGCTTAACGCGGCTGCTGTTGTTGGTGCTGGGCTAACGGCACCTGTTAATTGCATACGGTATTATTGTTGTTGTTATTGTTGTTGCTGTTGCATAGGCTAAGATCGTCTGAAAATTTCCTTTTGACGATGGCCTTTCTAGTCTCCATAACAGAGGTGCGCGACAAAATGTGTTAACAGCCCCGAGCAAGTTAACATAATGTATACGTTCTCTCTCTCCCCTCTCTCTGCTCTATCTCTGAACACAGGACGAGGTATTGCGACCGGATGTGATAAACGATGCCGAATTCAAATCGATACCTTTTATCGATACCAATGAGCACGACTCGATTGACAATGCCAACGGGACAGCGGCGCGCGCCTTTCTCTTTCTCGATGCCGATGAGAATCTGCAGATAGCAACGCCCGAATTGTTTTGCAAGAAACTGAAATGCCAGGAACTGGACAAAATCAAAGTGATCTCAATATTTGGCAATACGGGCGATGGCAAATCGCATACAATGAATCAAGTATTTTTTGACGGTGAGCCCGTCTTTCGTACATCGCCCGAGCAGAGCTCCTGCACAATTGGCGTCTATGCGGCCATGCAGCGGGAACAGGGTGTTCTCTGTCTGGACACCGAGGGACTTCTGGGCACCACGGCCAAAAGCAGTAAACGCATGCGTATGCTGCTCAAGGTAAATGCATATTAATCGAAACGTCTATCGATTGCACAACTTGATTCATCTCGATTTTGGTTTTTCTTATCGATAGATACTCGCCATTTCGGATATTGTCGTTTATCGAACACGCTCGGAGCGCTTGCATAGCGATATGTACGAGTTCCTGGGCACCGCCTCGAAGGCGTTCTGCCTGCATTTCACCCAGGCGCTGCAGGCCATGGGCAACGGCAGCACCCTGGGACCAGCTGTGATCATATTCCATGAGACCCACTACACAAAGCCGCTAGAAAGCTGTACGTAAGGGGGCTTACCTAAACTTGTGGCTTTTTAAGTTGTTTGCTTAAAACGTATTTTAAACCTGCTTTAAAGCTACTTAAAGCCTTTTTTAACCTGCTTTGAACCTATTTTAATCTTGCTTCAAACCGACTTTAAACTTGATTTAAAACCTACTTTAAAGCTAATTTACACCTACCTGACACCTGCTTTAAACCCATTCAAACTGCTTCAAACCTGCTTTGAACCTATTTAAAAACTACTTTAAATCTATTTAAATATGCCTTAAACCCAATTTAAACCTGCTCGTAATCTTACTTTAAACCTCTTTAAAGCCTGCGTTAAACCTATTGAAAACTGCTTTTAAAATATTTTCAACTTGCTTCAAAGCTACCTAAAACCTGCTTTAAATTGGATCAAACCTGCTTTAAACCTAATTGAAACCTGCTTCAAACCCCTTTTGCAGCCGTTGAGGAGAGCGCCGAGGATAAGCTGCGCAACAGTTTCGCCCTGCTGAACTATGAGACAAACGCGTTTAGCTCCCTGCGCTATGTGGGCATCCAGACGGACGCAAAGAAGTCAACGAATTTCAAAAAGATTAGCGACGCGTTGCGATTGGAAATTGAGAATACGGCGGTGCGTTCGCCGCGCCAGCCATCGGTTGTGTTCAAGGCGATGAAGCTGTTAAATCAGAAATTCGCCGGCGAGATCATCGAGAAGGCGATCAATCCATTTCCCGAGCAGTATTTCACCTGCGGCGCTCACTGCGAATCCTGCAGCCGTCGCTGCCAGCGCTCCATGGGCCACGTCAGCGACGGCGAATCCCATTTCAATACGCAGCCCTGCAACTATCAGCATCAGTACGAGAACAAGCTGTATCTGTGCAAGGCGTGCTACAACAATGGCAAGGAGATTGTCGTCAGCATACGCGCCCAATCCCAAACGGACACCGCCTGGTCCGGCCTGGCCAAGTACGTGTGGAAGGGCGATGTCATCGAGTGTCCCTATTGCGGTGAAATCTATCGGGCGCGCCAATATTGGTATGGCAACAAATCGCCCGAGGCATCTGTCGTGCAGTAAGTCAATACGAATTGAACCCAATCAATCAGTCACTCAATCAATCAATCAATTAATCATTTTGTTTACAGCGTGCAGGTGGTGCATGTGTGGAAGGGCGGCAATGCCGCGTTGCGCGCCAATGCCCATTCCGCCCAAATGGTGCTCGACAGCGTCAACAGCATTAGCGAGGTCTTCACCAACATCTCGGCGCCGTGGGCGAAGGCAATCAGCGGCATGCTTGCGGACAAGGTGGCGCCCAGCTACTGGCGTCCCAATCAGGAGATCATTGTTAGTTATGCTAAGTGCCAGGGCTAGTTAATCTGCTCGAAAAGCTTCAAATTGCAGCTGTGCGCATATCTGGATCCGTTCGTATAAACCTTATGTATTCTCGAGCTACATTCGCAACAGGCACTAGAAGAGCGGGAGACAGTACATGCTTATGTGTAGCAAGGCTTTGAGTGGGCAGTAGAAAGCATCTTTCACACCATAAAGTATATATGTCGAATCGATCTAGCCCTGTCCGTCGAAAATTACGAAAGCTAGAGACTTTAATTTGTAAAACATTTTTGTACCCCATAAGCTAATCGATTTGAGTAGCTTCTTTTCGATATCAACATCCGTTTTCATAGTATCGATAAGTATCGATTTATATTTTCGACATTTCGACCCATTTTCCGAGTATCGATATATATCGATTTATATTTGGTTGACACTTCTACCCATTTTCCGAGTATCGATAAATATCGAATTGGATGTGATCGACATCTTTCCGTTGTATCGATAAATATCGATTTCGAAAATGCACTTATCTCTGTTTTTGAAGCATATCTCAAAGATTATAAGATCAAATTTGGTAGACAGATGCGCGACTAGCCAATGCAAATTAATAGTATATTATTCTCTAGAGATGTTTATATTTCGCAGGGCTATGTAGACCTATCTCCATCTTAAATTCAGCCTAGTGTTGGGTAGCTCGCACAGCTCAGCTTGCAGGATATCGTTTAGTTGGGCGGGCTCGTTTACTTATTCTTTTCATTGAACCTTTCTTTTCTACCGTTTGCTTACAGCTGTGCCACGCTTGCAAGCGCAACTTCGAGAAGACTGGCATGCCCAAGCATCATTGTCGCGGCTGCGGCGAGGGCTTCTGCCACACGTGCAGCCAGCACCGTGTCCCGGTGCCGGCTCGCGGCTGGCTGCAGCCGGTCCGCGTCTGCAACGATTGCCACCAGCAGCTGCAGCGCAAATCGGACACGACGCCAGGTAAGAGCCCAATTACAGCACACAAAATCAGTTCATACGCTCGCGAGCACTCGCTATATATATCTCTCTCTCTCTCTCTCTGTTGCTTAACAGCGGGCATGTATGTTAGTACTTTGCTGTTAACCCAATGTTAAAGTGAGCCTTTTATGCTTTGTTTACAATATTCGTCCGTTTGTCCGTATACACTTCCTTAAAAAGCTAATGCAATTACAAATAATCCAAAAAATCCCATCCAATAACTCCAATAGAGCTCCTGCTACGTTAACATTTGAGTGTTAACTTCAAATTCTTATGTTGAGCTGCCTCGTTTTTGAGTCAGCTTTAGCAGAAAAACAGTACAGAACGAACAGCAGCTTAACATAGGTATATTCCTAACAGTGAAACTTTTATGAACAGCTGTTAAGCATAGAATTTATAAAGAATAACTGTGTACAACTAACATGAGCTTAACATAGATATATTCTTAAAAGCGACACTTTTTATAACAGCTGTTAAGCATAGAATATACATTAGAATAACAGTGCACAACTAACAGCAGCTTAACATAGGAATATTTTTAGCCTGGACAGTTTTATTAACAGCTGTTAGGCATAGTAACAGCGAGATGTTTATTAACAGCTGTTTCACATCAAAATGTTATTCAAAGGACCTCTAAAGCTGGGACTTTCCTTTGACTAGAACGGGGCGTGGCACCAAATCCCGCTGTCTCATTCTAACTCTCCTTCGCTTTCGCTTTCGCTCTCTCTCTCCCTCTCCCTCTCGCTCTCTTCGTGCGCGCTTCTCTCTCTCGCTCTCTCTGTCGCTGTCGCTGTCGCTGTCTGATTGTCTGTAAAAGTTTCTTCGTTTGTTACACACAGCGCACACTCAAGATCAAGCTGCATTTACTTATTGCAATTCAAATCTGACTATCGCATGCACAGGATCCAGGCCGACCAACGATGAGGGCGACATCCTGGTGCGCAAATATGGCGAGACCATTTACAATACCATCAGCAGCGTTGCCGCCGTGGCCATCGACTATCCCAGGGGTAAGCGGAGACACGGTATACAAACCAAAAAAAAAAATACGGCTAAACTAATCCAACGCAATGCCATCCCATCCAGAGATGATCAAGGACAGCGCTCGGCCGGCATACTGGGTGCCCGATGCCGAATCGCCCAGCTGCTATATCTGCAAGTCTGTCTTCGGGCGCGTTGAGGAGCTGGAGCTGGCCAAGCAGGCGGATGGCCGCAGCAAGCAGCAACAGCTGGGCAAGCACTCAAAATCGAATGGTGCAGCTGGTGGAGGAGGAGAAGCAGGAGGAGCAGCTGCATCCGCAGCAACGGCTGGCGATTGCCGCCGGCATCATTGCCGGCGCTGCGGCCAGGCGGTCTGCAGCAGCTGCTCCAAGCGGCGCATGCCGGTGCCAGAGCGCGGCTGGCAGACGGATGTTCGTGTCTGCGATGGCTGTGCCTGTGTGTCGAGTGCCTCGAACCAAAGCGCCGGCGCCGGCGGCGGCGTCTGCAGCATCTCCAGCACCATATCGGATGCGATCAACGGCGATGCCAGCACAGAGACCAGCCAACGCAGGCGCAGCGAGAGCAGCAGCAACAGCTGCAGCGATTATCGCAATGGCAATCCAATTGCCAGCAGCGCCTGCAATGCCAGCGACGATGCCAAGGCCAAGACCGAATGAGACGCGGCGCGCCGGGCCAGCCACGGACCCAACAAATCCAATCCCAACAACAACAACACAGTCACAATCTGGACCAAGTGCCCAGGCAGGCGTTAGGCCCACGCCCACCGCCCAACGCCCACGGCCGTCTCAGGCTCAAGCTACAAGAAATCGTACAATGTGATACTTCCTCTGATACATGTACCATATACTACACACACACACACGCACATATATATATATTTAACAATAATGTTGCTTATCGTCTGTATATATATATATATATATATATATATATATATATCTTTTATCTTTTGTATTCGATCTGAAGTGCTTCGCTTTTTTTTTGGAAATTTATTTTTTATTTGTGTGTCTTTTTTTCCACCTTTTTGTGCTGTTTTCTTTTTTTTTTCTTAAGTCAACTAGTGTTATTTATGGAAGAACAAATTTAATAAATTTTAAACCAAATATGTTGAGTAGGGGAATGATGAATATATTTTATAAGAGAAATTGCCCGGCATTGGGCGGAACTATGTGAAATATGCAAGAGCCAATGACTTCAGGCAGACGAAAAGGCCTTCTTGCTAAATTAAAAAAAAATAAAGGGTATTCCCTCTACTAAGACAGCAATAAAATTCTCAGACAATAAAGACAACCAAAAAATGTTAATTATAACAATTTTGTGTGCATTCATTTACCCATTTTGAATATTATTGCATTCGAGCCAGCGACCTCTCGCTTGCCAGTTCAACCCGCAGTCAATTTAATTAAAGTTCACTTTTTTTTTTTTTGTTGTTGTTTATTTAATTATAGTATAGCATTGTTCTTGTTGGTTTTCTTTTAAAATAATTATAATTGTATTCCATATATCGATTGATATATATATATAGATATAGATATATATATATATACCGATCTGGTGTTTTAACAGTTAGCTGAAATAGTTTTCGTATTTGTTACTTTATTCGATATTACAATACTTTTTCCATAAAATACTAAGAGGAGTTTTTTTTTTTATTAACCGTATTTTAACTCTTTCTTCCGTTTTGGGTGAAAATCGAGTTTTTTGCTTGGAAACAAAAAGAGGACAAAAAAAATGGTTGTTATAAATTTGATTTACATCGTATACATGTTTTACGCTTTTTTGTATTTTGTTTTTGTTTGTTTCAATTTTGCCATAAATAGTGTAATAAACAGGTTATATAGTTCGTAATACTTGCTGACAATTTAGTTAGGTTAAATCTGAACTGTTATACGGCGTATAACAGTGGCAAACGCTGCGCTTGCTGGTATACAATATGTTATAATTTTCAAGTATTTTGAGTTTTGCTCTTTGTTCGGCATAATAAATGGGAGTTACGTTCTAGTATACATTTGTTCAACTTTTCGCTCTTCTGGTATACAAGTATACACATATAGATTTATACATGTGTGTGTGTGTGTGTGTGTGTGTGTGTAGATATTTTGCTTGATTCGTATTTCGTGGTATACATGCGTTTGTTGTTGTAAATTTAATTTTAGTATACAATTGTTTAGTTCATGTTAATGTTGTTGTATTTAGCTTGACTACGAAAAAAAATATATATATATATGTATGTATATATATAACTATTTAAACTAACGCCTAGTAGAAAGTTATGCTTCGCTTCTCATTTCATTTTTTACGTATTTGAGGTTCACAATTAATATAAAAGCGCAAAAAGCTTGTTAGTTTTTTTTTTTTTTTTTTTTTTTTTAGTTAATTGATTAGAGTACAAAAAAAAAACGCATTACTTAAGCTAAGCACACAAAAAGCTAGAAATTCAAAACAGGCTCGATTTGTGCAAATTACAATTTATGCATATTTGACAAATAAATCTAAGTTTTATTTGCTTTTGTTTATGAATTAATTTGATATTGCAACGCAAAGGGCTTCAGCTGTTGTCAATTGCAGCTAAAAAAGCAGCTGAATTTAATAGAATTCTAAAAGGAAGCTGAATTTTATAGAAAAAGTAGCCGAAAATAGCTGAATTTAGTTTGCTGTGCGGCTTGAGTTGCCAGAAAAAAACTAAATTAGTTTGAAATTTCAACTCTTGAAAATAGCCACATTTAGCCAGAAAAGAGCTGAATTGGCAACATTCTGGTGAGAGTTGGCCTTTTGCTGGCAAAAAAAACAATTAAACAAAATGTCATTTTTTTACTATAAATTTTATATGCCATAAATTTTCAGTTAGCATAAAAATGCTAGAAAAACAGCCTTTTTGAAGCCGAAAACAGCTTTAAATAGAAGTCACCCATTGATTCCTTTAAAATCTTTGATAAAGACCCAAATGAATAAAGAGTTCAATCAAGAGTTCAAAAAACATTCCGAAATTTTGATAGCATGAAATATGCCCGATCTGTGATTATGATTAAAACAAAGCTGAATTACTTGAACAAACTCGACGGACACGGAAAGCAAATATATATATATATATAGAAATGTATAAATGTAAGGAGTTGCTGTAAAGGTATTGCTTCTGCTTGTTACACACATGTGCATTAGAACAACATACCCTTCTTTTCACACATTATCAATAGAGACAGGGTATACAAGAATCTAAAAATTGAAGGCATACAAAATTTTAAATACAGCGCAAATGAAACGCATTCCAAAATGACATTTAACATAGTTGAACAAGTTTTAAGCTTCAAATGTTATTCAGCTTTAAATAAATATATTTTTTGCCTGCCAAACAATGGGCCAACAACCACTGTGCATGTGCAAGCATGTGTGTGTATTTATAACAGTTGCCGTGTGTGTGTGTGTGTGTGTGTGTGTGTGTGCATATTTGTTGTTGTTGCTGTTAGCTGTATTTTTGTTGTTTCTTAAATTTTGCTTATTCGCCTCATGTTATAATAATTGAGACATAATCGTATACATAATTGATTGTATGCTGCACACACACACACACACGCACACATTCGTTAAGTTCGTTAAGTTTTTACACGCACAATTTAATAGAGATAAACGACGAAAAGAAGAAAATTGGGTTGAAACAAAATGAAGTAGTACTTTCTATTAGTTGATTTTTTGTTAGTGTTTGTTGTTGTTGTGATTTTAGCTTTGGCAAGCCTATCCTCAAGGACTAAGATCCTGATGCAGATTGGGATCGTAGCCGCCCATGCTGTTATCGTACGGCTGCTGCTGATCGTAACCGCCGGAGCCCATCGGATAGCCCATCGAGTCCTGCGGCGGTGCTGGCGACATCATGGGCGTTGTGGTGCCGCTGGGCGGACCGGCCATTGAATAGGGCGAGGCGCCGGCTGCCTTTTTGGCCGCATACAGATTGGCCTCCTCCTGGGCCTTGCCGATGTTTTTCTTGTAGCGAATGCGCTTGTTGCCAAACCAGTTCGATACTTGCGATACCTGCAGCGATTTGAACCAAATATCGATTAGACAAATATAATCGATAACTATTTATCGATACGCACCGTTATGCCACACTTGCGCGCCAGCTCCTCCTTGGCCTCTTCGGATGGATACGGATTGCTCAGATGACTGTAAAAATACTCATTGAGTATTTCGGATGCCTGTTTGCTGAAATTGCGACGCTTGCGACGCGCGTCCAAGAATCGAGATCGCAATATCATCACCGCCTCGCAGGTCGATTGCTTCAGCTGCATCTGAATCGAGCTGAATTTCTTGTGGATTATCTGCACCATGCGCTCGATTTCTTTGGGTGTGATGGGTCTGTTAAAACAAAAAATATATAATTGATTAATCATTGCTTTATGTAAAGTATCGATTTATCGATGTTACGCGCAGCCAATGTTGCCACTAGGTAACATTTTTGACTAATAAACTATCTTTGAAATTGAAATATGCTTAAAGCACAAAATCGATATTTATCGATATTATGAAAAAACATGATTTATTATCGATCGATTTATGTTTAACTAGTATTGTAATCTATAAAGTATCTTCGTCACGCCGCGGATGGCTTTAACGACCCTCACAGCTGCAAGGTAAGATAAATTAAAATCGATACTTATCGATATTATGCAAAAATAAGCAGTTATCGCAAAATAGTCAAAGCATGACCAAATATTTTTAGACCTGTGTAAAGGGTTTTCGAATTTTGTCATGAAACAATGAGGTGTATAATGCATAGAAGAAGATATCTCTGAATCCGTGTAGCATATATATTCTGGATCATCATTAACTTACATATGAGCCCAATTCCAAGGTCATATTACTTTTTCTTTGGCTTCATAGAAAGAATCGATTCCATAATGAGTTTTTGTATGTCAAAATATTCTTTTATCCAAGTTATTTTCATCAAAAAAAAAGTCTCCGATTTGCTCAAATATCTGCCAAGGCAAATGCCTTGAAGGGTATTAAATATTCGGCGTATCGTAGATAACCTTATTCTTAACCTTTTATCGATCGTTTAAGTAAATAAAACGGTTAAATTTCGTCAAGTTAAACATTCGTTAAGCTTGTCAAATAAGAAAAGGTGAATCTTTCTCTCTCTCTCTCTCACTCCCTCTCTCTCTCTATTCGGTCTCTTACACTGTTAAGTTTCGCCAAGTTAAACATTCGTTAAGATTGCCAAATAACATATTGCGAAAGCTTTAAGTAGATCATCTTGTAACTCGCTCTTCGCTCTCCCACATTGATAAATTTCGTCGAGTTAAATATTCGTTAAGCTTCAGTACATCATCTGGCAACTCTCACACGGTCTCTCTCTCTCTCTCTCTCTCTCGCTCTCTCGCTCTCTCACCTGGTGCGGCTCTGCTCGCGCAGCAGATTCATGACGTGCGTGGTAAACTCATTGCAGGCCTGCTCGTATTTCTCCAGCTCCTGGTGATAGATCTGTCGGATCTGGGCCAGCTTGGCGCGATAATCCGAATGCTCGATGGCATTGTCGGCGCCATCGATGGACAGTGAACCGCCTTGGCTGGCGGCCGCTGCTGAGGCTGCCGCGGCGCCGCCGCCGCCCTTTTCTGGCCCAGCCACGCCCTCGGCAATCAGCATGTTGTCCAGGCGCATCAGTTGCGGATCTGGTGGCTCCTCCTCCTGCGTGTTGCGAATGGACAGAACTGCAAGACACCAAAAAACAAAAACAAACAATCAGCAAAGAATATGGCTTTAAAGTTTCGTGCAAAATAACAAAATGGCGCCGGCGTTGCCAGTCCTAGCCGGCGTTGCCCCATCAGCGCTTATTGCATTCGCTCAGCTGCGGCTGGGGCTGAGCGCAAGGAGCGCATAAAATTTTATTATTATGCGAAAAACAATAACAAAAGTTTTCACTACACGCAAACACACACACACACACACACACACACACACACACACACACACACACGCACAGGGAGTCTCACGTATCTGCTGTGCTGCCATATTGTCTAGGGAAATGCGTGCTGCTGTTGTGTATTATCTTTGCTTATTCGCAAGTCCTGGCTATGCATGAATTGGATTTTGCGCCACACTTGCCGCCGCTTGAATCTTAATCACGTTCGCCAAGGAGTTAGCCAGAGCTGGAACATTTTGCAGCTGCTTCCTCAGCTCATCAGCATGGCCGAAGCGTATCCTTGTGCTTCCCTTCCCTGCCCTTCCCTTCCCTTTCTCTTCTTCGTCTACCTCATCTATGTATTATGCAGACAACGAAAACAATTGCCGGGAACTGGATAAGCATAAGCACAAGACAAGTAATGAAATCCCAAGCCCGCCCCCCTTGTACACCTCCCTTGGCCAAAGTGCACGCAGCTCGTCCTTTCAACGGCTTTTGCCTTGAATAAAAGATTTCTGGGCTCAGACTTGAATCTCATGCTGTGCTGCGAAAATTCCCAAAACTCTCAATCGAAACGTTTCAAAGTTTTTGGCCAAAGTTTCAAATGACATTTGCCGCAAGATAAGAATATACGCCTTAAGAATGGCACTCACAATGCGTTGGGGCGAGCGGAGTGTGAAGTGCAGGGCCTAGAGTGAGGTTAAGTCGAACTATATTCAAGTTTTCAAAGCTTTAAGCTGAATATTAAATAAATCACAGTAGCTTATAATTAATCAGAAGCTAAAGCCGAACAGTTCAAAAGCTCGTAGCGGAGAAAAGCTTTCAGATTTAGCTAAAATCGAAAGACGAAAGCTCGAGCGAGAGAAAAACAGTGCCGAAAGTGAGGTTAAGTCGAACTATATTCAAGTTTTCAAAGATTTAGGGTCAATTAGCTGAAAGCTTTACGAAAACATATGATCAAACAGATGAAAAGCTCTAAACGAAGAAAAGCTTTTACATTTAGGTGCAATCGAGTGGAACTAAAACATTTCCTAGAGTGAGATTATGTCGCTATATATTAAAGCTTTCCACGTTACTTTCACAAACAACTTGTAAGATCAAATCTGTATTATAAAAAGCTTTTGCATGAGCTTTTGACTTTTAGAGAGATAAATTCGGGATCCGTTGAAGGCGCTACAGAAACATCAAATCACGACTTGAAAGCTCGAAAGTGAGAGAAAATAGCGTTAAACTGGAAAGCTTTAAGTTAGTTTAAGCTTGAAGCGCTCGAAAGCTTTGCAAGTTAAATCTGATTTTGTTCAAATAGTAAAACAGTTTGCAAGACAATGATCCTTAAAAAGTAACCAAATTGAGGGTAAACAAAAGTCTGCTGCAATTGTTTTCCACTTATTTTCCACACTTACGGGCGGAATTTACAAAAAAGCTCTGTCGCAGGGCAATTTTAGCTTTAACAGATCAATCAGTCAATCAAGCCTCTGATGCTTGGCTCAAGCAAAATAAAAACTTTTAAACAAGCTTAAAAGCTTGCAGTCTCTTGATAAACACGCACAGAATGTCATTAGCTCATTAGCTGAGCGCAAAATACAGGTGCCAACAGTTAAATTAACATTAACAGCGTCACATTAACATTTCTACAGGCCATGTTATTAAATTCTCTATTCAATTTATGGCTGCCAGTAGCCAGTGCAAAACGAGACGAGGCGAGGTGAGGAGAGGCAGTATATTGCGCCTCTGGCGACAGCTGCTTCAATATCCAAACAAAGGAGGCTGTGGGCGTGGCTGTCTGCCCGCCTGCCTGTGTGTGTGTGTGTGTGTGTGTGTGTGTAATGTTATTAAAAGATTACAGCAAGAGTTGGTTGGGCGACAGCTGCTGTTTGTGTTTTGCGTGCGACATCGGTGGTTGGTTTATTTGCTTAAGGTTAGACCAAATATTGCCAAAGTTTTCCCAGACACACTTTCAAAGGAGGGGGGAGGGGGGGCGGTTCACGTTTTTGGGGCGTGGTCTGGCCGCTATCAGAGCTTCTTCTAGCAAAGTTTTTTTTTTTTTGACTGATTACACAAAACTAAAAACTAAATTTAAGTTTGACAATTTGTTCTTATCTTCAACTTGTAAATCAATCAATCTTTAAAGAATTTACAACAAATCTTTAACTTTTTGTGGCGAGCAGCTCTCTAGAAACCAAAAAACCAAGCCAAGTATGCCAAGTTTTTGTATGCCCTTTTCCATAATCAGCATAAGTTTTGGTTCAGCCTAATTTCGCATTGCAGTTGGGGTTCTATTGGACCCCAGAGCTTTCAAGCCAAGAATGATCAATTAACATTTTATAAATGGTTTCCGAAAAGAAAACCACATTCAATTGATAATATCGTTAAGTATCTTCATAAACCCTGTTAGGAGCTGAGGCTTAAAAAGAATCTAAAACATTTCCAGCCTTAAGAAAAATTAACACCTGAGTCTCTATAAGTATCTTAAACATTTCCAGCCCTAAAAAAAAGTATCTATAAGTCCATTAAGCCTCATTTACCCAACATTTTTTTCGATTTCTTCGAGACAAAAGAAAACCGCCCCAACCCTCAGTTCTAGATAGACGCATCCACTAATTGTGCCAAAAGAATCGCTTTAGGAATCCACCTATAGAAATTTCTTTCTATTCCAGCTAAACTGAATGAACTCGAGAACTTGAAGAGCTAGACTTACGAAATTTGGTATGCAGTTACTTAAATCCTACCAAATTATAATGCAACTCTAAGTTCTAGAAAATATTTATCAGTTATTTTGTGACTTTGAACCTGATTTATGTTTTAGGAACTTGGAAACTAACAGATTTTTGCAGTTAATTTAAAGAGATATATCTAATATTGAAAAATTTGAACTATATTCTTAGCATATATGCAATCTATGAAGTTAGGATCCCAAGATCGTACAGCTGCTCGATATGACAACCCTTTTGTTTGGCGTCTTAGCAGGCGGGCGGGAGGAGGGGGGCGTGTCTGGCAGGATGCGTATCATTTGCGTATCTAATGAAGCATTTAAAAGCAGCCAGCCAAATTGTCGGATGAATACGTAGATAAAGCCAGGGGCGAAGGGTGGAGGGGGAGGGGGAGGGGGTCTAAATGGCATTTCCAGCTCGTAAATTTGAATGGGCCAAAAAGCAAAAAAGGACAACGCGCAGCGCAGAAGGAGGTGTCGACTGCCTGTCTTTCGTGTAATAAACATGCCGGGCTCTTGTCGGCTATCTGTCAGTTACAAGTATATATAGCTACATATATATATATATATACATTGTATATATATATCTATATGTATATATATATATATACGCATCCGACTCGTCGCGAGTCGCAAAATACTTGTGCGTGGTATTTTGCATGCCTGTCGAACAGGTTTGCGCTTTTCACAAACTTATTTCAAGACGAGCACACACACACACACACACACACACACACACACACACGCACACACACACACACGAACACACACAAGCTGATAAAATATGTTAAACAAGGCAAACTGTGAAGAGCTTCAAAATCCAATTGTAAACCTTTTTTGAATACCCTTTCATATTTGAAAGAAATCTTTTAATATCATATCTGACCTATCTGAACTCGACTCTCCATGAAGCTATCCGTAGGCATTCTGGTACAGACGCTTCTTCTTTTCTCATTAGTTCGAACTAGTTTAATATATCATCTAGCTGAACTCGGCTTCCACTTGAGCTAACTTACGGAAACTTGATACAGATGCTTCTTATTGCTGCAGAAAGGAACACAAGTTCTGGATGGGTCTACCATATCATATGGTGACCTATCTGAACTCGGCACCCAATGAAGCTATCTGTAGGTAACTTGGTGCACATTCTTCTTTAAGCTCTCGAAAATGTTTAAGTGAAAACCAGTTGGGTAGGTTTACGATATCATATAGCTAACTCAAAGAACTTGGCTGCCATTTGAGCTAGCTGTATGAAACTTGGTAGAGAAGCGTCTTTCTGTTCTATGATAGTGCATAAGTTGGTACTGGTTGGCTATGATCATCCTATCATAAAGCTACCTACGTGAACTCGGCTCTCCGTGAAGCTAGCTGCGGGAAACTTGGTCTAGATTCTTTTTAATGCTGCAGCAAGAACATAACTTGGAACTAGTTGGATAGGTTTATGATATCATATAGCTAACTATAAGAACTCGGCTCTCAATGAAGCTAGCCTTATGAAACTTGATACAAACGTTTTTCAATGCTTTAGAAGAAGATAAAGTAAAACCCAGTTGGATAGGTTTACGATATCATATCATATATCGACTCTGAATGCAGTTAACTGTAGGAATCTTGTTATAGAGATATCCTGCAGCACTGATATGCCAGATTGGAGTAGTATTTCGTAAAGCTGTCTTAGAAAAATCCAGGGTATACTTGGCTATATTACGAAAATTATAGACCAAGGATATGAAGAGCTGAAGTTCCTAAGTTCTTCGAATACTTTATCATATCGTATATTATCGTATGCTATCCATTCAAGATTGTGTTATGGCTCGTCCAGTTGTCTTGCCATAAAATATATACAAGTCTTAAGTTTATATTCTGAATACTTAGCCAGGAATTTTCTTAGCATGGGTCCGACACGAATTCCCACAACAATTGCTTTTACTTTGGAAACAAAAGTATTGAAAATATATTCGGACTTTTTTGCCAGGGTATTTTTATGGTCGGATTTGTATGTTATTTTGATCTGATTTTTGTTTTGTTTTATTTTTAAAATACTCGTTTCGGTCACCCTTCCCCCTCATCCGCCTCTCTGTAGCTGCCCCCCAGCCATACCCTAGCCGTCCCACTTGGAACTTGGGTCAAGTGTTTCTCTTCTTTTTCTTCTGTTTTTTTTTTTTTCGACTTCTCGGCAAGTTTTATTCTTGTTTACTTTGTCGGCGCCCGCCATCGATACGCGGTGCCCTGCAAGTGTTATCGCTTTGTACACACACACACACACACACACACACACACGGCTTGATAAAATTATGTATATACACAAAATATTTTCAAGCGATTTGATTTCACCTTGTGCGGCACTTGGCCGGGATCTAGGGCCGCATTAGATAGTTCACAAAGCTACCCCATGCGCACACCTACCTTACCCCCCCCCCCCCTCCCACACACACTACGCCCCTTTTGCATTTGTCACCTGATCGAAGGCCCATATGAAAAGTGTGTGACCAGAGTGTGCGACCCTTTCTCAAGTTCCAACGGGAAATAACATAAAAAATAACTCGAAAAAAATAAAAAACATTTTGCGTTATACCCTGTAATTTGAATCTATATTGGGAGAGCTGGGTAGATTGGGCTGACGTCCTTTATTTATGCATTTTTTTAAGTCGAAGAGTTATTTACTTTTCGTTTTCCCCAGCTTTTCATAAGACTTGTTGAGTGTGAGTTGTTAATACCCTTTCCAGAGGGTATTACAATTTAATGTCATGGAAGAAGACCTCATAAAGTATATATAGAAGACCTCGAGACTATCTCTATATTATGTAACATAAATCTAAATAGGGGAAAGAAGAGCTCTCAAGCTTTCAAGTTTTCGAATTTGAAGAAACCTGAACTATGGAAACATAATCTGCGGTAGACACTCAAAAGGAAACATGTGTATTTGCCAGGGTTTTTCAGTTCGCACTTCGACGACAATAAAAACAAAAGAAAACCCAGCCGAAGAGGGCCAAGACGCTGGCCAAAAGGCAATTTCGCAACGGTGCGCCTTTTTCTTGGGGGTTTCTTTACAGTTGGGCTGGAGTTGGGGACGCGGCCAGCTCCCTTATGGCAGGGCGGGGGTTGCAAAGAGCTGACGGGGGTGTGTGGGTGGTGTGGGCGGTGTGGGGTTGCTGTACTTTAGGGTTAGGCAATGGCAACGTTGGAGCCATTCAAAACATCTGGCCCACAATCAAAACGCGCTGTTATTGCCCATTTTGTGTCGCTGCGTGGGCGTAATGTCAGGGCGAAATGAAGTTGAGGAAGAACAAGAAAAAGAAAAATTAAAGGAAAACACATTTGAAAATTCAGGACAAGGTGCGTGCAGGGTTAATAACGAGTAAATGTGCAGGAATTTAAAGAGCTGGCTTGCTTTTCTTTTGTGTCTTTCTTATGATAGAATCCTTTGCTGTGGAAAGTGGAAGCAGGTTCGAACTAAGGTTCGAATCCCGGAACTGTTGTTGCTTTATTAAAGCTAAAGATGCAGCTCTTCAATTGAAATGAATTGAAGAAAAAATCGCTTTGAAATTCTCAATAGGTTTAGTTATCCTAAACCTTCAGACATTCAAGAGGAAGCAGAACCCCGGTTCGAACTCTTGTTGCTTTATTTAAGCTTAAGGTAGAGCTCATTTGAGACTTTTCTTGAATGGAAGGGAATCCCGATAATAAGGAATGATTGCGCGTGCAATGTGCAGGAATTTAAAAAAAAAAAAAACCGTGGGAATACCCTTATTAAATTTCCTTTTGGTTTTCTATAGTAGATTCCTTTGCTGCTAAAGGTAGACCCTAATAAACTACATTAGGGGCATTCCGACCAAATAGCTACCTTAGAAAAATATCGAAATTTAATAAGAAAGAAAGCTAAAAAAAATAAATGTATGCAACAGGCGGAGGGAAGCATTATTCGACCCTATGAAAGATATATATTCTTTGTCTTTCAAGGATCTTCAAGAAATCGATAAGAATCGATATCGAATATCTGTTTCTCATCGGTTTCAGCAGCTAGAGCAAGCAAATTTGACATTTGGCATCTAGAATTGTTTATTTAGAAGAGTTTATATAGATCAAGTATCTTTCATTTAATAGCTAACTCCAGCCCCACCATAGATATCAATTAATAATTGCTATATATATACGAATATTCGATATCACATTAAGATCTACTGTTACAAATTTCATCAAGATCGGTTAAGAAACATGGAATGTATTACAGAAAACGTGCGCTTATATTGACTAGCCACGTGTTTGCGGCAAATTCCAATAATTTCTGTTTGCATGATGCATTGCTTATTGCATTCGAAAGTAAGAAAAAGCATAAAACTGCAAGAGTAGATGTCAGAGAAGCTTTACTTTCTTTACAATTTCAGTAGAACTATACTAAAGTATATATAGTCCTGTTCTATCCCATATACAATAATATACTCTACTATACGATAGTATATAGCCGATTGACATCAACAGGTGAGTCGATATTGACCAAGTTCTTGTCTCAACTTTGCAGTTAATTTGTCGTAACTTGGAAGAGATTTGACTGTTTTTTACAGATATATTACATAAGCTTTGATTGGACTCCACCCAGATCCTACATAAGTAACCAAATCCTAATCTTAATGGACTACAATAACATTAAGCTGAAAATGCCCGAAAGAGTATTCAAAGTGCGACGTGCCGAAGCTTGGCTTTGTCTTCCTCTCTCTCTCTCTCTCTCTTTCTCACGCTCCCTCTCTGGTTTGATTTAATTTTTGCTACTTACCGGTTTTCTCCTTGATCTCGCACAGAACGGAGAACAGGGCCGGCTTCATGCGATGACAGTTGAGCGTATGCTTCCTGGCCTGGGCCTCGTCCAGGGATTGCTCCGAAATGCTCATGATCTGTTGAAGTATTTCGCCGATGTCCTTTTGCTTGCGCACCTCGTTCTCGTTGCCAGCATTTTGGCCATCGTCCTGGCCGGGCAGGCCGTAGCCCTGGGGTGCCATCATGCCGCCGGTGTGGGCCATCATGCGATCCTCCATGTCGTGATGCTGTCTCTCTCTCTTCCTCTCTCTCTCTCTCTCTCACTCACTGTTTCCGACTACAACAACAACGAATCTCGCAGCGCACGCACTGCAATTATAATTGTAATTATTTAACACTTTTTAACACTTGCGTGCAACAGGCAAAAATAATAGTCAAAAAAAAAAAAAAAATATTGAACTATTCAAAAGATTTCATTTCAATCGCACCGTGTTTTATTTTGAACAAATTTCCCTCCTTCTATTTCTACTCTGTTATTTTATGCGCGCACACACACACACGTCCGCACACAACGGCAGCGCGTTGAGAACTGGCGACTGTCAGGCACTTGTTCTCTCTCGTACTCCCGTTCTTTCGTTAACCGTTTGTGTTTATCTCTCGCAGCCAAAACGAATGTTAACGTTAATCCGACTGTGCGCGTCGCCTTCGTCTCTGCACGCGTTGCACACTGTGCCAAGAACGATACGGCTGGAGCAGCGGGCGCGGTGCGGGGCGTTGGGCGCAAAAACAAACTGCGGCATTTGAAGTTTCAGTGCGTGAAAAGTGGGAGGCAGAGAGAGAGAGAGAGAGAGTGAGAGAGCGAGAGCAGCGCGTATGGGCGTCGGCTGCAGCCTGTTGTATCTGTAGCAGAGGGCGGCGCTAGACAAATTCAATTTATCCAAAGGATCTTAAATTGATTTGCATCGATAATTGTAGCTATCGATATATCGCAGCAGCTCATTGAGAGCATATCAACAATGCATAGCGGCAGATCAGATCTCATATAATGCATATCGCTCATTGCTCTCTCACTCGCACTCGCACTTGCATTGAGAAAGTGTCATCCCAGCATTTCGCAAGAGTTTCGATTGCGCATTTAAATACCGCCCGCGGCTATGCGTGCGTGCGTGTGTGTGTGTGTGTGTGTGCAGTGTGGGTGGATAAAATCAGGGGACAATGGACAGCGGGCAGCTGGCACACGCCCCTAGGGGTAAGGCTAAAGTTACCTGCGTGCCACGCACAACTACAACAACAGCGCTGCCCACTGCTGTGTGCGTGTGTGTGTGTGTGTACGTGTGAGTGCATTCACATTTGCGCAAAATGTTAAAGTTAATTACTTCAGTTTTTTTTTTTTTTTTTCAAGTGGCTAGAGCCATAAAAAAGCAAAAGAACCGTAATTATGTTTGCACAGCAGCCAAAAACAACGGGAGAAAGCAGCGCTGACCTTCAGGCCCGGAATATGCACACACACACACACACACACACACACACACACTTGTGCTGCATGTGGACAAAGCGCATCAAAGGCTGCGCAAAAATAAAAACAACAAAGCATCAAATAAAATTGTATGAGAACCTGTTTAATATGCACACACACACACACGTGCACACACACATGCGTGCAGACAGTTCTTGGAAATCAGAGCCGCTTTTTATAATTCTTTGCTACAGTTTTTGTTGTGTATAAGAGCGCTGCCGTATAACAGTTGCCTGCTGCTGCCCAAAATATTTTTGTGTATCATTTTGGCCAATAAATCATTGTTAACTTACACAGCACGTCAGCAAACGTTTTCGTTTTCGATTACTTTACAGGTACTTGTATTTTGTTTTTTGTTTTTTTCGCCAGCTGAAATTAGAATTAAACAAAACAAATATGCACTTGCTATAAATATTTATGGCGTATATTGGAGCGCACACGTAAATTTTTCGGTGCGCTGCTTTTTCTATTTTACATGCTCAATAGCGAAACTTCGCCACTTTTTTCATGGTGCACAACATGTTTTCTTATTAACCAAGTTGGTTTATTGTCGTTCTATAAGTTTCATAGCTAAACACTTGTTTTAATGTACACAAACTTCGCTTACGTATACTAGCTTTGTTGACATTTATATGTGCACTAGGGCTGTCGAAAATGTATCAAGCTATCGATATTTTTGCACAAGAAAATTATGTATTATATCGTGGTATTTTTTGGCGGCGATATATCGATACTATTTTTGGTGATATTTCTTCGATTCAAAGAGTTGACGTAGGTGCCTTGTGAAAAACTTATTTTTTGATTAATATTTGAGTATAGTCAGCCAATTGGTATATGAAATACGATCAGGCCGATAATAACGTAAGATTTTCAAATATACCAAAACAATTGATTTCAACCGTATTTATAAATTTAATATTTAACAAAAAAGTGGCAGCGATACTGATATTATTCAATATATAATTATGCTAATATGCACAATAATTTCGTTTATTTTTTTTTGTTTTTTTAAATGTGCGTGTTTCTCAGGGTTTTTGCATTGTTTTAAATTGTTTAAATTCGAACGCTTATGTTGCGTTTTTGAGTTTGCGTTGCTCAGTTTTGCGTTTGCGTTGCTTACGTTTGCTATGTTCCTGTTACGTTGACATTACATTGGATAAAACGTAAACAACAAGCGCGCAACTTAAAATTAATCTAATAAAATTGCTTTATTTCAAAAATGTCTTGGTCTTGCTTATATTATGTGAATGAGTCCAAGAGCTAACTCGTTGTTAGCGTACCACATGAATACGTTAGCATTTTCCTGTTGGAAAATAGTTTTCAACCAATTGCCAACATATTTCGTTAGATGTGGAGCACGTAACGTAAGGCTTACATTAACATTTCTGCGTTGAGCAACGTTTTGCGTGCAGCCAACTTAATGCCAACCTATTGGCGCACGAAACCAGGACTCAAGCGCATTAACAGCTGTTACATCAATGTTATTTCCAATTAACAACTCGTTGAATGCGGTCGTGTGTGCGCCGGGCTGAGCGCGTCTTGCGAATTTTTGTTTCGAATCAAATTGCGCGCGTGCCTAATACGAAAAGCATTAAATGCAACCAACAAATATAAATAAAACGCACATACCTATGCTAGTTAAAGTGCATAAATATCAATAAAGCAATATATGTTTTCGTTTTTTGTTCTATTTTTTTTGTTGAATGTTATATTTGGTGTGCCCAAAAAGGGTGTGTACTAAAACCAAAAAAAAAAAAAAAAAATTTGTGTGCAGCTGTAAACAGGAGGCGAGCGCAGGAGTCACGACCAAAGCGAAGCGAGAGTTGCGAGTGTGAGCGACAGAGAGAGAGCGAGAGAGAGAGCGGGAGAGGGAGAGGAAGTGCAGTAAGTGTTTTTGGGCAGCAACAATGTTGTTGCTGTTATTTCTTTTTGCACATTTACCTAATGCTTTTTCTAATTCGCATTTCGCTAGCTCCGTTTTTTTTTTTTTTTTTTTATTATTTTGAAGTTTGTTGTGTGTGTGCGAAAAATCAATAAAAACAGCCGTGTGTATGTGTGCGTGTGTTGTGTTTGTGTTTGTGCAGCAGCCGGCTGCTCCTGTGGGTTCTGCCGCTGCCGCTGCCGCTGCTGGCGTAGGCGTCGCAAAATATATTGTTGCTAATAACTGAGATAAGCGCTGCTATTTTATGCGGCTATGCGTGTTTAATTAGTTTAAGGCATGTTAATTTAACTAAATGCGGCAGTCGCACGTTTTTGTTGTTATTTTTGCAACCACCAACAAACACAGGAAAGAAACGCGGTGCAAAAAAAAAAAAGAACAAAAACAACAGCAACAACAAATGACAACAAAGCGTGCGCTGCAAAACGGTTTCTAACGGTGCTCAACTTAACGAAGCGCGCCAGAGAGAGAGAGAGTGAGCAGAGCAAGAGCGGGAGAGGGAGAGCAAATGCGAGCTTATGATAAGCGGCAAATGGCAAAACACGCAAATTTGATCAAATCTCGCATCTTTTATATTTTTTTTTTTTTATCTTGCGTTTATTTAATGCTGATGTTGCCAGATTGGCGGCAGCGCTGCCCACGCACAGAACATGACAGTTAGGCGCTGTTATTAACATAGCCACAAGCATGTGTGGGTGTGGGCTTGTGTGTGTGCGTGTGTTCTAACAGGGCTAACAATTTGGAGTTCAAATAAAAACCAGAGAAAATGGCCACAAAATAAATATCCCTGTGTATATAGTGATATATAACGGTAAATTCTAAAACTTAACAGAGCTTGGCTTCTAAGTGATTAACTTTTAACAGTTTACCTTCGATTTTTCTACGATTTTAAAGCTTTTTTTAATTGAGTTCGAATACGTTCATCCCAAAAGTTTGTAAAAAGATCGGATTATGAGGTCCGAGATTAGGCGAGATTGCATTGTCCATACCAAGTGTGGGGCTGAGAGAAGACCTTGCAGGGTATCTCCTAGTCAGGCACTCCCGACTAGAGCACTCTTCTTTTATTTCGTTTGCTGCTTGACTGAACTTCGCTCTGCGCCCCAATTTCAAATAACTTTTCTTATTAATATTTGGGCTTGCGTTGAGTCACGTCATAAGTGTGACTCACACACACACACACACATGCGGGTCGCAGGTCAGGCATGTCTGTGTGCGATTGTCCTTGACGGCGAGATTAACATCTTGCTTTGCCGCCACTTAACAAACAACAATTGTCAAATGAAACAAAAGCAAAAACAACTCCCTTCAAATCTTTTGGCGCCTATGGCGTCACCTTCTTTTTATTTTGGGGCGTGGCCGTCGCCTTGCTCCACAAAATATCCACAAAAAATCCACAAAATTCCGAACTCCGGACGATGCCTTTGGCCGGTGAGCTCACAATGCGAAGCTGAATAATAACAATTGGTGCACACGAACTTGACATTGAACGTATTCAGTGAGCGCAGGAGGGGAAGCAGAGGGGGGCTGTGTGGGGACAGTGAGAGGTCTTGAGGATGCGCAGCTTCTGTGGCACGCAATTCCATCCAAAAAAAAAGAGGCCTCTAGCCCCTTTGGCTTCCGCTTAGGCTGCTTTTCCACATTGGGCTATTGATTCGGTTTATAGTGAAAGGAGAATTAAAGAATTCTGATTCGAATAAGATCTGTAGCTTGATGCTTCATATGTATCACATTAATCGCGTTGAGAAGCGCATAGAGAGGCGCATTGTAAATGCGGAAAAGTTATAAATAAGACACGTAAGATCCTGAGAAATTATCATATTGAGAATCGCATAGAGAGGCGCAATAACGATTTGAGAAAAATTATATAAATAAGGAACGCAAGATATCAACACATTATAATGCTGAGAAGCGCTTATAGAGGCGTGATGTAGATTTGAACATTATTTAATATAAAAGACGTAAGATTTTAAGTAATCAACATGTTGAGAAGCGCATAGAGAGGTGCTCCATACAAACGAAAATAATTGTAAATATGAAACGCATGATTCAGACTAAATTACAGGGTGTTCAGTAGCTTATATGATCGCTTGCTGCAGCTGCCTTTGCCCTGCACTTACCCATTAGCCTTGGCAGGCGCTCATCTGTGGTGGGAACCAAGCCAAAGCCGCAGTCCCAGTCGCAGAGCCGCCGCATCTGATTGGAGAACTTGGAGAACTTGGCGAACTGGGCGAACTGGCAACTGGGAAACGAGAACCGAGTATCGAG